GATACTCTCTTTAATCTTTCAGCATATAGCTTATCAAGCAGAAAAAATGATGCAAGTTTAGCGAGGCTTTTCCGATGCACTTGAGCTTTCAGGAACAATGGAGGAGAAAGTCATGCCGATCGGGGGAGAAATAATAAGGTCTTTAAACGGACCCAGGCCCTTCCTCACCTAAGGGTGAGAGACTATTTATGAAGCGTCCCTCCCTGGTATTCTTCTGCTGGTTTCTGAGAACTAAGACAACAGAGAGACCCGGCCCGAAACCAGCGTTCCCAATGTTCCTGTGGGGATGACCCAGTCAGGTTTGAGGTCGGTACCGCGACCGGACAGCAGGCCCCTGCGCGGGCTGTCTATCTAGTCTGGGGGCGCGGATCCCACTGTGTGAATCGGCAACTCACCCGCATTTCCAGGATGGAGAATCGTGCGAGGCGTAGCGCAAGCCCCTTCCTCTCGCGTCCCTCCTCGTCCTCTCAGGCCCCCGTGGCAGAACCAGGCGCTGACACCAGCCCTTCCCTTCCCTCCCCTTATGCCCAGTCACCCCCCGCGGGGAGCCTTTCGCTGAGGTCTGGGCGATGCTTCTTCCCCAGACCTAACCCTGAGCTCCGGGTTCACGCTGCACTTCCCAGGTCTTCTCCCAATCCTGCAACTCGGTGCCGCCCACGCACCACGTGTGTTGCATTTCTCCCCACCACCCGCCTTCACCTGCTCCCGGGCTGCGCTCTCCCGGGAGTTGCTCACTCGAGGGAACAGTTAGCTCCGTGGAGATACAACTGGCCTGTAACCTTGCGTGGGCTTGAGGAGTCAACCGGCTGGTTCCATACACATGGATTGTGAAACACTGCCACCGTGACGACCTAGCTCCTCCGCGGCTTCCCGTCCGTGGGTCCCCGGGGAGAACACGTAGACCTGCTCTCCCAGCTGATCCCGAGAGGGGCCCGCTGAAATTCCCCAGAATAGGCACCAGGGGGCGCCTGTTCTGCGCACACCTTTACCACTGAGTAACAAACAAGATAAAATGGATTGTTTCCATTTTTTCGACATTTTCAAAAACGGTTACCCTTTGCAGTCTTGGGAAAACAACCTTTGTTAATGCTTCAGACCCTCGCCTCTCCGTGGGCAGGTGCCCGTGGAGCCGAGAAAGGGAGGCCCGAGTCCCTCCCCAGGCCTGCAGCGCACTCACCTGGAGTCCAGGCACCTGGTGTCTCTGGCGAAGCAGCTGGAGGCCCGGGGCCTCTCAAGAGAAAACCGTCTGCGCTGCACAGGCACCTGGAGTGTGTGCAGAAACACTAGAATTTGCAGAACCCCTGCAGGGAATAGGGGGCGTCCGCGCTCCCTTCTCAGGGGCCAGGTGTCCGACTCCGTCTCTGCTCTTCCTTGGCCACCCGACGTGCGGAATCGCTCTCACCCTCAGAGACGCAGAGCAGGCAACGCCCTTGCCAGGGGCCGGGGGACGGGGCGGGGAGGGGAGCAAAACTCCAGGGTTTGAGGGGCCGAGGCGGGAGACAGACTCCTGGACTCAGGCCCCAACCCGTCGTGAAGGTGGACCGACAGTCACGTGAGAGGGAAGCTCAGTTGCGAGAAGGTCAGCTTGCGGGACAAAGGCCAGGGACACTAGCGGCGCTCCTCATCCCAGCTTCACTGCTGACCACGCAGGCGCAACGCAGGCGCAATTCCGGGACGGTCCCATCTGCGGGTACAGAGTGTATTTTTCCCTACATTCTTAACTGTGCTAACTGCTAACCACATGAAACACAGAAATGTTGACAGAAGGAGAGAAAAATTTTAACTGCAGAAGAAGAAAAACATTGATGAATTTCATCACGTAAAAAATATATGCTTTTTTTGGTAAAAAAGAATGTTGAGAAAAGAGCAAACTGACCTCTAATACAAGCACTGCCTGGCTGTGCATTCTTGGGCAGATGAACTAACTTCTCTGAACTTCTGCTACGTCATCCATGAGGTGAAAACGGGCAAACCTGCGGAGAGGCCATCTGAACGCTGTGCTTTTCTGGAACCGTGTGTGCTGCCTAGTGGGTCCTTGACCCACAGCAGCCGGACACATTTGCTGATGCCCAGAGACCCCGCCTCCTAACATGTTGTTACTTTGAAGCAACCGTGAGGCTTATTTTTATTGGTTGCTTTACATTTCGCAATAAGCTGACTCTGAAGAATTAGGGCTTCACTCCATTTAACCGCAGGACGTTCGCTTGCTGGGCCCCCGCCTGGCACACGTGAAGCGCTTGGTTTTCAGCGCCCAGACTCAAGCGGAAGGAAGGCAGCCGCTCCCGGCTGCGAGGGCCGGAGGAGCCAGAGCTGCTTCTGGGCCTTCTTCAAGGCTGGTGTTTGAAATGCTCCTTTAGAGGGGACTTTTGGGGTCATTTTCCAGTGTTGAGAAAGTTTACAGCAAGTGCCCTGGCTGGCGTGGCTCAGTGGATCAAGCAACAGCCTGTGAACCAAAATGCTACCGGTTCAATTCCCAGGCAGGGCACCTGCCTGTGTTGGAGGCAGGGTCATGGGTGTGGGAGAGGCAACCAATCTAAGTTTTCTCCCTCCCCTTCCCCTCTCTCTGAAAAAAATAAATAAAATCTGCCTGGGCTGGTGTGGCTCAGTAGGATTGAGCACAGGTCTGCAAACCCAAGGGTCACCAGTTCCATTCCCATTCAGGGCTCGCGCCTGGGTTTTGGGCCAGGTCCCCAGTAGGGGGCGCACAAGAGGCAACCACACATCAATGTTTCTCTCCCTTTCTTTCTCCCTTCCTTCCCCTATCTCTAAAAATAAATAAGTATAAAAAATAAATAAAATTTTTAGAAACCTTTGCAGAAAGAACTTAACATTTTTTTATCATAAAAATAAAGGCCAGATTTTGGGTTGAAGGTGGAACAAAACTCCCACTGACTTTAAGGCAAGCCACTAAGAAATCCGCCAGGTTTGACGTCGCTGCTCTGCATGTGACCACTCCTCCTGGGCCAGCTGTTCACGAATCGTGACAATCACAGCTGTTCACGCCTCGGGACACAGGGACCCCTCCCAAACACGGTAAAATCCGTGACTTGCCCTGCCCCCCCCCACACCCACCTGGGAAAGCTCAAACACAGTCACGGGGAAAGTCAAAATGTAAAATTAAATATTTAATTAGAAGTCTGATTTGCTTTAAAGATAGGTGGCAATGCACAGGCTATATTACACTCTCTTTATAATTTTTTTTTTAACAAAAAAGATACTGTTCATTTTAACAGGCCACGGTAATATTAATACATGTGTGATAGAGTCAGGACTGGAAATCAGCTAGAGATGGTACAATGTACAATATTGGGAAAATTACAGTTTTGTATTGTAAAAACATTTATTTTTTTAACAATTTACCTACATTAATCAAAAAATTACAGCATATTTAATAATTTTACAAATTCTTCATAAAAAATATATCTCTGTACAAAAAGGTCTTTTGCACCTAACGTGAGTCAGCAGCATGGGGTGGGATGTCCGGACGGCGGGTGACCGCAGGTCCTGACCGGGGCGCCAGCCTTCAAGTTCCCCTTGTTACCATAGCTTTTTTGTCGCTGTTTACAAAATATCTTACAGAAGAAAAAAGATTATTGCAGCCTGAAGGAAGGCAAGATGTGTGAGGCAAGCAGCGCTTTGAAAGAGCTTTAAGCACATGAACCGCGTGAGCATGGGCACTCCCTCTCGAGGTCCCCTTGGGCAGGGAGGGTCTTCCGGCACATTCCGAGGCCGTGCACTCGCCCTGGGAGGGGCTGGCTCGGGGGTGGCTGTGTCTGAACCTCAGGCACCACACAGACCCCTGAAGGATGGTGTGGCCCCGTGCGGCCGAGGGGGGCTGTGCCTGACCTGACCACCCCTGGTGCCTGGAACCTGTGCCCTGCCCTGCTGGGGTTCCAAGCATCACTGCCTGGCCAGCAGGACAGGCACGTGGGGACAGATGGCTGGATGAGAGTCTGAGGCCAGCTGGCTGCACCTGGTTCCAGCGGCTCACACTCAGACGTGTTCGGTGCACATGTGTGTACATGCACTCATACCTACGGTGGGGGTGAGCGGTGCCCCCCACACGCTAGCCCACCCCTCCTGGCCCCTCGGTCTGGATTGGGGTGTGTGGGGCCCTGGGCTGTGGCCAACCTCGTCTGGTCTGAACAGAGGGGATGCAAACTCTCGGTGGCAAAGCCAAGCCCCGTCCTGGGGCCAGGACGGCTGAGGGAGATGTGCAGGGAATTCCACGAGACCGTGGAACTCCGAAGGCCGAGCTGCCACCAGGAGGGGCCGGTGATACCCTCCCAACGGAGGACACACGCCCCCCACCGAGGGCAGGGCAGGGGCACCCAGCAGGGTGCACGGCCTGCAGACAGTGAGCCCTGACCCTGACAGTTCTTTCCCCGTTTTCCACGTGTGAAGCCCGCCCTTCCATCCACAGCAGACAGACCAGGACGCCAGACTTGAACTGAGAGACGACCAGGAGACTTGAACCTGCCTCGCTTTCCCCAGGCCAGTCTGCATGGCGAGAAGGGAGCTTTCTACATGTGGAAAAGGTGCTTGACATTCAAACTGCTGAAGAAGAATTCTCTTCGCACTCTTTCTACCCCGTGCTGATCAATGATGACAAATGCGTTCCCCTTTGTGACCCAAACAATTCCACTGTCGCCTCATCTGGGTCACACTCTGACCCACTTCCACACCGGGGATGATCACACCCACTTCCATTGTCCTGCGACTTACAACTTGCCAGTGACGAATGCTAATCCTGGAACCGCACTGAGACGTTCTCTCCACCTGGAACGGCAGGAATGAAAGGCAAAGGAGCACAGAGGATGAGGTCCCTGGAGGGGAAGGTGTGAGTCCTGTCTTCCTGTCTCCGCAGCAATGTGGGCCCTCTGACCCTGACCGACAGTGTCCAGTGGGTCCCCGGGCTCCTGGGGGTCCCGTCCTCCCTGCAACGTCAAGGGTGCATGGCCACGGGAAACACAGTGTGACGAGGAAGACGGCACTGGGAGCTCCCACTCACACGGCCACGCACATCTGAAATAAATTACTATTCACATCTGTACACGGCAGGTGGAGGGCGCGGTCAGCCTTCTCTAAGATGCTACCAGGACGGCAACAGACGCGAGGGGGAAACATGTGGGAAATAAAAGGCCTCTTTTTTTTCTCAGTGAGTCCAACACAGATATGTAGCTAAAAGAAGCAATAATAAAATAAATCTCTTTAATACCGTACTTCTGTGAAAACCTGTGCCATATCTGGGGATTTTCTCTCTCTCTTACACAACCTGACAGTGAGATGCTCGGCTTGAGAAATGAAGGGATGTTTATATACAATGTGTAGTGTGTATAAACCCTGTGTAAATAGTATATTTTATCAGAATTCTTACTCAGTCATTTGTAACACACTAGTGCAAAAAAATTGTGCATCAAAACTTCTGCAATTGAACAGCTGACTGGGAATCTGCGGATGGTCCTGGGCGCGGACGCCGAGGGGGCTGGGGGTCCTCGTGGTGCGCCAGGCTTGGGGAAGGCTGGCGGGGCGCCTGTGGGTGTGTGCGTCGCGAGGGAGGTGTCTCCTTCAAGAGAGCCGTTTTCCAGAGTATTTGCACTCGTGGGGGTGAGAAAACACAGACAGAAGGTGTCGTGGGGCTGCTACTTTGTCACCACGCCCAGAGGCGGTGGCCGTGTGCCCAGGAGGCTGCATCAGTGGGGGGGGGGGGCATCCCAGCCTCTGGAGGCAGGACGTCCAAGGCCTGGAGGCGGATGTGCCCGCACGCCTGGGTGGATGGGTGGGCGGGCTTCCTCCAGGGCGCCTTGACCCCACGTAGGTGCAGCCGGATGGGGGCCAGGTGTGGCCGGTCCTCAGGAGATTCTGCACAGTCTCTGGACATCCCTGCTGCGTGAATCCGGTAGGAGATGGGAAGGGCCGCGCGGCGAAGCCGGGAGGAGGAGGGAGAGAGGTTCCTGGCACCAAAGGAATCACTGCTTGCCCGTCAGAGGTATGGCTATGAGTCGGCCCCCGGGCCGGGGGCTATACTACTGTGCACACTGTGTTCAGAGTCGTGTCGAAGCGCACAGCCTTGGCCTCTGTGGGCTTCAAGTTCGTGTCGTACATGGGGTTCTCGAAGGAGGCCTGGCCGTTGCTGTTCTCGTGGCCGGCGTAGCCATTGTACTGCACTTTGGGTCTCGTTCTAGGAGGGAGAGAGAGCAGACACTGTCAGGGCCCTGCCTTCCGATGCCCAGGGCTGGGCCTGCGCTGACCCTTCGGTCTGCAGGGAGCCACACCAACAAGAGGCCACAGAACCGACGCTGGGCGTGGGGGCACACAGAGCTGTCCCTCGCAGGCCTCACTCTTTTGAGTGGCTGGTCGAGATTATCAAGAGAACTTTAAACACTGAAGTCGTTCCCAAAATCAAAGAATTATCCGATTCCAACTGATAATCTGGGTGAACTCGGAAGGTCGCTGATGCGGGTGGCAGACAGACTCTGCTTGGGTGTCCGCCTACCCCTAAGTGTTATGACCTCGAGAAAGTGGACCTCGCCACTAAGTGGGAACCAAGGTGTCCGCCCTCTAGGACTGTGGAGATTCAACTGAAATACAAATGTAACCCTGCCATTACTGACATCACCAAACGTGAGCTAGGTTTTGGAATGCAACTTTGTCTCCAACAAGGAAGTTACAGAGAAGACGCTAGACTCATTATTCAACTGTTGTGTATATTTTCTGGTTAAAAGAAAACCTCTGGGTAGACCTCAGATTAGAGAATTGAAGGCTTTTTAGGTATAAAAGTGGTAAAGCTCCCCCTTGCCCCTTTCCAGAAGAGATGACGTGAGAAAAATAGGCCAGATGGTAAGAACACAACTTGAAGTGACCAGTCTGGCAAAGACATCACTTCATGCTGATACAAAGACACTTCTGCTGCCGTGATTGCTAGTTGGTTTCCTTACATTGTAATATGTTTGTGAAGAGCAAGAGGACGAAGAACTCTGCATCAGCAGAAAGGCAGGGTGCCAGGGCCTCTGACACTGAACTTGAAAATGCTCTGATAGCAGAAGTCAGCACACAGATTCAGCCACATGTTCACGAAGCTTAAACGTGGCTGAAATTCCCCTTAAACCCCCAGGTCAGGAGCCCCCACCCTCCCGCCCTCGTTGGGAGGGACACCCCACCGCCAGGGGCCCACCGCCAGGGGTCCAGCGCAGAGCCCACACCCGGCAGGGCCCCCATCAGTCAGGTCTCCGCCTGAGGTCTACTCCCGAGCGCCACCTGCTGGAAGGTGGAAGTCTGCCGCTTACAGGGAAGCCTCTGAGGTTGGGAGACCACCTGGGATGCGGGGATCCTCCCATGCTGCCCCCTCTAAACGTTAAGACACAGTCAGAAGGAATGTTTAATTGATGTATGAGTAGATACAGTTCTGGGAGCGTATGTATCCTTTTAAAGGATAAGAGAAGAAAATAAAGGATAAAGGACAAGCTGAAAACATTTTGTGACTCATGTAAATGTCTGTGTGACGGGGAGGTGCCCCCCCCACCCGACAGGTGGGGCTGCCGCCCATCCACAGACAAAAAGCCAAAAGGAGAGAAAAAGAATTTCCTGAGCTACATCAAGTCCTTGGGGTTAATGTGGACGCCACCGAAGCAGAAACACACTTGCAGGATTATAAATCCCCCCTGCAGGCCTGTGTCTCTGAGGGTATTACATTTCTTAGAGAATCTTGTGAAGGAAGAGACACTTGTGACTGACGTAATGAGAAGCCAATGATGGATTTTTCTTCCAATGAGGGATTGGAAGAAGTGACGGATTTTTCTGCAGACGGTGGTGGGACCTAGTTCTACATTTATTAAATTTTCATCTAGTTCCAAACCGAAATGTGAGAATAAGGCTCGTCAGACTCATGTGCGTAGGGTTTCTTCTCTCTAAAACACTACCTGACACAGAAGCGTCAGTCTTCGATTGTGGGGAGACCATCTCAACCCCCCCGGCCCCCATCTTTATAGCGAGAGCGCACCAACCACAGAAAATCGAGGGCTCGCTTGCAAGCAGCTACCAGAACATAGTTGTGAAGTGAAATTCTTCCTATTTTGTTTCAAGAAAAGCCTGAAGACACACAGTGAAACCTTTTCCCTTAGTCATTCAAAATAGCCTCCAAACCTCCACACACTAGTATTTTCTGTATTTTTGTTTTTTGCTTGCCAGGATACGTAGAAATATCTGCAGCACATATATAAACAGAAGGCACATTTAACGTACCTAAACCTTATTTATAGGATCGTAATTATTTTCATTACCTGTAGGAATGCTAGTTAGAGTCCAAGGAATTTAAGAACCTTGGTGTGGGCCAAATGCCTCCAGGTGACGCATTTTTCCACAGAGAGGAAATGTAAGTGAATCTGTTATTTCTTCTAAATTTAGTTTTGCTTTTTTTTTGGCCTCCATGCCAATGGCAAGGAAAGAATCAATTCCATTTAAGTTTTTTTTTTTGAACTTTTGCCATCTTCCTGTTGGGAGACCCATGCCAGTGGGCCGATACTTGGGCCACTTTCTCACCGGAGGAGCGTGTGGCACTGCTGGGCACCTAGTAAGGACTTTCTTTGTATCTGTTAAGGGGAGAAGTGAATGGACACTTTTTAAGTGGCATTTCCCGGAGCCCTGGAAACGCCCCAGTAGCTGACCCGGGCGCCCGGAACGGAAATCCAGCTCCCTCGCTGGAGCCGGAGACAGAGCTGGCTACCTGCAACCCCGCTTCGGGTTCCCCCGCGGCTGGATTTCGGAGGGGCTCACGGGGAAGGCCAGCGGGCAACAGACAACCACAGCTTCATGTGTGAGGCCTGCAGGCCAGACCGCACACTGCGCAGCTATGCCACGTTCACATGCTTGTGAGAGGGAGGGCGCGCAGCCCTCCGACCCACGCGCTCTGCGCGCTCGTACCAGTGTTTGTAGAGGTAAAAGGCGAACCCTGACAGTATCAGAGCGAAGAAGGGGACGAGGATGGCCACCCCCACGGAGCCGCTGCTGGTGCCCGGGGGGCGGTGCTCAGAGTCCTGGTCAGCGATCAGCGGGTCTGGAAGACAAAAGGGTCCATCAGCCCTGCGCCAACCAACACGCAGACATGTTTCATGCGTGAGTGTAAATCCTCCAGGAAGCAGCAGTTAAGTCCCAGCAGGACCCGCCAATACTCCTCCGGAGAAACAGCAACGTGCGTCTCCCTGAAGGAGGCGCAAAACCTGACCCCTCAGGGGACGGTCAGCGCGACCTGACTAAGTGTAGCGCTGGCCCCCCAGGATGCGGCGGAGGGCAATGGGCCTCGCGCGGTTGAACTCTGCTTACGTTGCCCGATAACCCTGGGCACGAGCGCCGGCTGCTTTCGGAGGCGCAGCGCCAGGACACAGGGACCTCTGAACTGCCAGGGGAGCCTTGTTTTCTCTTTCTATGAAGTGTTTCAGCTATGAAAATAGCTTCTTAAATAAAAAAATTCTTGAATTTTTACATAAAAAAGGTGCAAATAATACTGGTCCCCGGCTTTACCAGAGGCAGCAGGGTGCGACTCCTGCCACCTGAGGCTCTACTGCGCGCTTGCTTTACCCTGATGCCTCGGAGCCGCATCTTTTCGAGACCCTTCCTGGCGGGCAGCGCACGGGCCTCGACATGACCGCGGATTTCCAGACGCGCTCACGCCTGCGGGCCGGGCGCCTGTTCTCTAAATCTCTGAGACCGGCACTGGCACGTGAGTGGCCACTCGGACGCTCCCATCCCGAACTTGAAGGGACTGAGGCAGGCATAGCCCTGATCCCTGTGGCTGCAGGGACAATACAGATGCCCCTGGTGACAGTGCCAGCTGAGGACAGGACAAGCAGCTGCGGGGAGTCCTGGCCACCACTGGCGTTGGCAGGGTTGGGGGGTGTCCTGGACACATGGTGCCAAGGGCACCCACCTCACGGCTTTGTTGGGAGGCCCACGTGATGGACGTCTCCACTGCCTGAAACCAGGGCCCAGGCACGGCGTGCAAGGGGACAGAAGTGCCGCCACATGGGAGGCCAGACTGGGCCGCTTTCCTCCCGAACCCAGGGCCTGCGCCACACCGAGATCAGCAGGTGCGCCACGTGCACGTTTGTGATGTAAAAAAATAGTGCTGTGTGCCTGGCACATGAGCGCCCCCTGGCTCCCAGCAAGCTGCCCGACGGCCTGCTCCAGGTTCTGCAATCCTGGGAGTCTCCTCCCTCGCTCTCCCAAATCTGTGTTCTGCTTAAATTCACTGAGGTGTTTTCTGCAACAAGACTGCATACTGCTGGCCATAATAGGTGTCAGCCTCCTGATCAACAAAGTCCTGGAGAATCTATGCATCACCAGGGACTTCACCCCCTAACAAGGAAGGAGGGTGCCTGAGTCACGCAGCTAACCTTTCCCAGAAATTACGAGGCCGTCTGAAGCTCCTAGTTACTTTCAGTTATTTACCTTGTTTTAGCAATGTAAAGGGCAATACATGCACATGGTATTAATTAAAATGGCATAAAAAGGTACGGAAATAGTCAAAAGGTCAATGGAAACGAAGGTCCCCTGGGCCCCCGCGTGCCATAGCTTTGGGGTGTTGGTAGTGACCTTGCTGAAAGAACTCTTCACACACATGATTGTGTCTCTTTTATTACCTTTCTAACAACCAGGAGGATGACTCACGGGTTTTAGATTCGGCTTTTTCACCTGAACTGGGCACTTTAGGTTCTTCCACCAGAGGTCAGGTTCAACGCAGTGCTCTGTGGTGTTCATGAAACGAGCCGGAGTTTGTCCAGCCAACCCACTGCCGATGGCCATCGGGCTGTTCCCAGCGTCCTTCACTAATGGTGCAGTAGTCTCTTGGCCACGGCTGCCCGTCAGCAGGGTCTGACCACTCGGGATGGAGTCTAGCTGAGTACATACCCTCTGCGTCCCTGTTCCTCACCCAACTGCCCTCCAAGGCGGTGGTCCGGCTTCCTCTCAGTGTTGTATCGTAGGGGCCGTGACAAAACCATCCTGGCCCCCATGCAATGAGGAACTGCCACCTGCTCCCCTCGCCTCCCCCTCCCTCTGCCACCCCCAGGTCTCCACATCAGTGTGACCCTCTGCCGCTGCTCTGGCTGCTCTCACTGTCTCACCTGCACCTTCTCACTTAGGGCCGACAGCGGTTCGCCTGCCACGGCCTGGGCCCCTCCACTTTCAGGCAGCGCCATCGAAAGGCGCGCACAGGCCAGCGAGCTCCCCATTCACAGCACACAGGCCAGCCCAGGTCTGCGAGCTCGCTGTTTGTCCTCGTGTTTCCAGGGCTGCGGCCACGCCCATGATCCACTTTCGGGACACTGTGCCCTCCCCTGGAATAAACCCGGGGTCCCTGAGCAGGCATCCCTCATCCTTCCTGCCCCACGGATTTCGGTGAGTGGCTTCGTTCCCTCAGAATGATGGGACGCCCAAGGAAGACACAGAATGCCGTCCCTCACCCCGAGTCCAAGGCTGCTGAATGCGTTCCTTCTACACGATCCAGGTAAAGCCCAAGCAGTGACAGAGAGACCAAGAAAGGAGGAGGGTGTGTCCACCTGCCTGCCTGTCTGTCTCCAGTGGGCTCTTTCTCACAGATGCAGGGACGTCTGCCCACACCAATACGTAGCCTTGTCACTGTCACAAAATGCGCTCAGTGAAATCATTATTTCTGTGTGATCTACAACACAGCATCAAGTTGTTTCTTTCAGCAGTTTCTCTATGATCGCTATGTGGAATGGAGAGATTATTTCGGATGTCAGCTATTAAAACCGGTCCTGCCTGAGATACACCCAGCTAGGAAAATAAAAGTTGTGACACCGTCTGCAACACACTGGGGTGGAACTGTGGGGTGAGAGGGTGCTGCCGGACTGTGCGTACCTACTTGTGACACCCTCCGGGACTCCCACCGGGACGGACTCCCACGGGGAGTCTGCTCTCCCCCCAAAATCATTTTTGAAACACTGGGGAATTCTGATAACTAATGATGACCTATCTCTGAGTCCATCATATACATTTTTGAAGTTGACGCTCTTTTCATTGCTCTTTGGTGACTTCTAGTCGTGCTTACGTGTAATTTTCAGGTGAGAGAGTTCGCTGAGTTCTCTGGCTTTTCTTCCTCCCCCTCACTTCCACACCCCCCCCTCCACAGTGAGGCAGCAATGCCACACCGGACACACCGCCTGTGTCTTTCCAGCTCTGTCTGGCCACTTTATCTCTTCTTTTCCCCATCAAGTTTCGAAACCTGTTTGCCTCCCCCGCTGTTTTCGACTGGGTCCCTTCTGGCGCCCTGGCCTCCTGGTCACTTCCCAGCACTGTTGCTCGAAGGCTGGCCCGCCCGCCACTCCCTCCCTTTGGAAGTAGCTGCTCACCTTGCCTCTCCAGCTTGAACTTTCCGAAGTCCTTGCCACGGATGTCACCTTGAAAAGTGAACCCTCCCCGTTCGAGTCCCGACGAGACCTGCCGTGGGAGGGGAGGGGGCAGAGGGTGCGGAATGAGGGCCCAGTGCTCGCCCCTCCTTCCCTAAGATCACTGGACCTTCCCTGCTCAGAGAGCACAGGCTAATGTTTTCTGTTCGCCATTCCTTAGGGTGAAACTATGTAGTTAAAGGGCAAAATATACAGATGGAACATATAACTAACGTAAATTCTGACTCATTTTGGCCTCAAAAGTGGCTTGTAAATTTACAACACGCGTGTGGATGAGCTGCCTTCTATGAAAGGGATGAAGATAGGAAACCACACACAACCCGAGTTATGCAAAACACCCTGTGTCACCGCCGTGGCTGACACGCGTCATGTAAGGCTGTGCCCCTGGGTCGGGGGACGAATCACAGAGCAAACACATTCTCAAGGTGCAGAGAAGCCCATTCAAGGGGGCGTCCTAACTGTCCCTGCTCATCCGGGAGTGGCAGTCTGGGACGTTCGGAGTGGCTGTCAGCAGCCTCGGGACCTGAGTCCACACCTGGCTGTGACCTGGCAGGGACAGCCCATTTGCCTCGGCCCATAAGCATCTCATTTGGGGACTCGGTTTCTTCTGTGCTCAGATGAGGGGTACCAGAGCCAGGTCACTTTGCAGGGGGACCACAGCATCCCTCCAAGCACCGGCCATTCCCCCTCGACTCATGGACGCCCCCTGCTGCCCGCACCCCGGGGCCCATCCGGCGGAGCTCAGCCGTCGCCCAGGCACTTACGTAGCCGTCCAGGCCCCAGGTGCCATCGTCGAGCTTGCCCACAAAGACGTCCGCCGGGCCGTGCGTGCGAACGGCTCTCAGAAGCAGGTGGGCCTCCTCCTTCTTGTACACGCCTGCGAAGAGACCAGGGCGGCGCCCCTGCATGACCGGGACTCACGGGCCCACCGGCACGGGCGTGCAGCCATTGGCTGGGAATACGGCCTGGAGGTGGTAATACCACAGAGAAGAAAGATTGTTATTATGTTTTCAAATTTGAGCTCTGGCACCTCTTTCCTCAAAATCACCTCTAACGAAAGTCCTTGTCTCTCTCGACTGGGCATCGTCCGCTTCACTTTGGTGAAACATTTCCACCTGTTTATCCCACGGAAAACAAAACAAAACTAAACTAACATGCTTTCAATTATATTCATGTTTGAAATCCAACATTTTTTTGTTTACGATGTGCTGACAAGGGGCCGGGAGTCTGGCCCCCACCCCACAGCCGTAGCCCCACAGACAGCTGTGCACAAAGGGGCGATTCACCCATTAGGATGGAAAGAGCAGTGTGGGGGCCAGGGGGTGACAGACACGCCCTGGTGGCCTGGATGCTCTCAGGCACGAGGTGACTCCACTGTCACACTGTCCGGCTCCTCAGGAGGCGGAGGGACTGTCCCCCACTCTCCTCACTCAGATGTGCGGCGGTCGGCACACACGGGACCTGTCGGCAATGCCTCGAGTCCCCTGCCTGCGGGAGGGCAGGACGGGGGACAGCGCCGCTGTCTTGGAGTGCACAGCAGCGCAATCTCCCATGGAAATGAGAGAAGCAGCGCTCTCACCTCCCAGCTGCCCTGGGCACAGGGACCGTGGGGAGCCACCACTGAATTCCCAGATGACAAGGACGCCCGAGGGCCTGCCTGTGGCCGAGGGTCCCCTCCCACCCTCGGGGGCTACATCCCCTGGAACCTCTGACCCACCCTGTGCACTGCAGGTGGAGAAAACCACCTTTGGCCGGCAAGTCTAAGCTGTTGTTATTTTATCAACAGGGGGATGATCCCCCAGAAAACCCTCAAAAACTAAAACACCACAAAACCAGGAGCAAACACATTTAAAAAAGAGAGAATATCTAAAGTTAGAGTTAAGATTTGGGTTAAAAAGAAAAGAAAACCCACTTATCAAATAATACCTCTGAGAGACCTGCCTCTCTGGACTAAATTCCTCATCTTTGACTCAATATGCTATGCACATAACCTTGAGCAAGTTGGTGCACTTTTCTGTGCTGGTCTGTGAGCCTCAAAAGGAGAAAAGCGCCCGGCCTGGGCCCGAGGTGACGTGGCGTGGCGGGACGGGCTCTGGGGCAGGGTGACCCCCACGCCGGGGCACAGGGGACCGTCAGAGCGGCTGCCCGCCCAGGTCCCCCGCTTAGGACAACCCTGGCCTACCTGTCAGCTTCAGCTCCACCTGGTTGGCGGAACGAAAGGTGGCACTCACCTTGCTGCTGGTGGCGTTGAAGCCATCCACAGTCAGCGTCACCAGCTGTGTCTTCCCCAAATACTCCTAAAGGCCCTGCCACATGGAGCTGACAAAAAACACGTCGGAAGGAACTGCGAGGGAGGAGACACAGGCACAGATCAGCCGACGTGGAACTGAGCTACGTGGGTCTTTCACAACAGAGAAGGCAGACTTGCTTGGGGAGATGCCAGACATGAGCACAGTGACAAGGATGAGGGTGACGGACTGCACGCAGGCCCCTCACAGCGTGTGGAGCTCAAGTGCACCCCCGGGGGCTCCCTCGAGGGGAAGACACACGGTTGTCAGTTTGGGGGAGACAGAGTGCAGATGCAAAGCAGACCTGCGTGGCTGGAGCGTATGTGGGGCTGGGACCAGCAACACCGGGTGAGGCTGGGTTGTGCTTAATGAGACGCATGGCAAACGGCCCCAGAAAATCGCTGCTGATGCGTCAGTGACTCTCACTTTGAAAGACAGAGGCTTGGGGGACAGACGTGGGACCTGTGTCAGGAACGTCCCGCTCTCACGCAGCCTGCACGGCCAGGCCTCCTGTGGGCTGGCCACGCCGCTCACAGAGACAGCCTGCTGCGTTCCGCGGGCCAAACCGTCTCCCCCTGCCATCTCCCCGTGGAGACGCCCCACCACAGGGAAGACAGACGGATGGAAGGGTGGCCCACGTCGCGGGTGTGGATGAATTCAGAAAGAAACGGCAGGCAGTCTGTGTAAAACATTAAAGTCCACCTGGGACAGGACAACTCACAGAGACTGCTGAGACGTTCTCTCTTCTTGTTCACTGACTGAAAATTAAACCCATTTCCCACACCTCTGCCGGCCCACGTGCCTGAACTGCCGCCCGTCTCACAGCCTTGGCCGGGGGTGTACCAAGGAAGGGGCCTCACTGCTTGTCCCTCGGATGGGCCCCAGGCAGGGACCACGTGGGACAGCGGGACAGGAGTCCCTACAAGTGGCATCGGAGAAAACACACTGCTCGACTCGGGGGTGGAATGAAAGATTTGTTTCTCCCAAAAAGCACTTTTTTGCAGACCCACTTAGAGCAGGTGATGCCGGGACACACCTGTGGCCGCGGCCCCTCGTCAAATGGTCCACTTGGCCGTTTCCCTGCCTTCCCCAACAGGCTGACCCACAGGACACAGCCTGGCAATGGGGGAGTCGAAGACGGAGGGAACGTCATCACTCCCTGCTGTTCTGAGTGGACCCGACTCCCAAATCACAACAATTCAAGAAATGAAATAAGAGTAACACGAAGATATCAACGCCGGGGTCCCATGCGTTTGCTGGTTGAGAACTGACATTAAATGCGGCCGCTGTCTGCCAGCCTCATGGCCACCGGGTCTTCACCGGCAAGCCCCTCGCGGATTCCCTTACCAAGATGAGCAGCCTTTAAAATACTGTTGAGGCGGCTTGATTTCCCCTACTCAGAATTTACCCACTGGGTGGGGCTTCTAATGTGCTTGTGGGGGCTTCACTGAAGGGACTCTTGGTGGGGGCCTAGGAAGTGGCCCGTTCTTGTTCGCACGTGACCGTGAGGAGCTGATGGGTCGTTCTGGGTCCTTGTCATTGGACTTTCAGCTGGTAGTGTGCAGTGGTGCGGCCACCAAAGAGAGGGTGTGTCAGAGCGTGCCACGCTGATCAAGAACCATATTTAACATGCACGCACACCCCTTCCAAGAGGAGATGGGGTCTACCAGTGGCCACGTGTGCGCCTCAGAAAGCACACAGAGTGGATACACTGTTTCGGTCTCTCAAACAGAACGTAAGCAAACAGGAGGGGGACACACGCCTCAGCCACCACCACCACCACCACCACCAACACTTCCTTCCTTCCTTCCTTTCGAGGGGGACAGTGCAGCCTGGGGAGGGAGTGCTGATTTCACTCAGCGTTCAACTTGTAAATAACAGTTACACGGAAGAGCCTGGGAATTTGGGTTTCCGTGATGCACTTGAAGTAGTTCCTGTAACCACACAGTGACCTTTGGCCTCCTCTGAGGATTTTCAAGTGTGACCCAGCAAGAGCATTTTTCACACCCTGCACAGTTGACGTGATAATAGATCCTTAAGCCCAAGAAACCAGTGTTAAAACCCAAGTGTGGGAAATCCAGGGATGTGGCCTTGTATATTTACAAAGATTTTCTATTGCTGTTTGAAAAAAGCTTGATTTAAGTTATGACCTGGGGAGCACTGTATCATTTAAACGCTGTCTGGAGTTAATGCCATGTGTAAGTCAGGGTGGCTGATTGGGAGTGATAACAAATAACTTCCTTGAGAGGCAGGGCTGTGTCTTTTTTATTTGCTCCATCATGCGTTTAGCCAGGTGCCACACGCAGCAAGCCGTGCTAGTTCACGTCTCGGGGGCAGAGGCTGCCTGCAGCTTGGGGACCTGTGGTGAGAGCGGGCTCATGATTGAGCTGCTCGACTTGGAGTCAAAGGCCTCACCCAGGTCTGCTTCCTCGGGGGGAGGAGAGGACCTTAACCCTCTTTATAAGGCTCTCCATTATATCACTTTCTGTCTGCAGCTCTGGCCCCCGGCTGCCTCCCGGTGCCTGCGGCACCTTCGATGGCACAATGTGAGATCACACCGGGAGCTCCCCCTCCTAAGTACCGCTATTGCGTTAACCAACCGCAGTGGAGAAAGCGCTAGGAATTTGCTGCGTGGCCTTGGCGATCTTGGTCACCGACATGCCCACTCGGTTGGGGACTAGTGGGGTCGGAGACTTGCACACCCAAATTTGTCTCGCTGCCCAGAGTAGAGGACCAATCACGGCCCTTGACTGAAATCTGTAGCTGGTCTGGTATACAAACCTTTCGTTTTAGTAACTGTCTCATTAACTTCTCTCACTCCTTTACCTACAAGTAAAAAGACAAATCGTCATTTTCAAAAACAGGTATTTTGGAATCAGTTTGAAAAAATGTCAGATTGAAGCAGTTTTCCTTTCTCCAGATTCCTCAAGTGTCCAGGAGAGGCACATCTCATCCCCATCCATTCTAACCCCTGAATGCCCGGAAGACATCCCTTGCGATGGTGGGAAAAGCTTCCAGGGGAAGCATCAGTGAGTCCACCCTACGCGTCTCCTTCCACTCAGTGTCTACAACAGAGAGCCTTGCAAAGCAGGGTTTCTGTGGTCCGTTTCTGACTCCTACGTGGGACATGCTGCCCCCGACCGAAAGGTGATGAACTAACTCAGATTCCAGAACTTCCCATAACTCGACAAGTCCCTGCCCAGGTCGATGCTCTTATAAGTTAATACCGAATAATGCCAAATCGTGTCTCTTGCAGAACATTTAATTTGGTCTATCGAGTTAAACTTAACTCATGATTTCTTAGCTTTTCTAGTTTGGTATCTAAGTACAAATTATAATTTTTTTCAGTCTATTTACTTTGATTTCTGGTTGGAGAAGGGCGAGGGCAATGAACGTAAGGGTGAAGAATGGAGCTATGAATAAGCTCCAGGAACCAAAGCTAAAGTCGTGGGGTCAATCGTACACACACACGGCCTTTACTGATGGAGTTCCATGCCCAGTGTGTGTGCAGAATCTAAGTTTGGGGAAGGGGCCTGGGAGAGCGGCCACCACCAAGTCTGGGCCGGGATTAACTCCTCTCGTTCGTAAGTGCACAAATTTGGGAGTCATGGACGCATCATGTTCCTGTTCATTGTTTTTGCAATTTTAAAAACCAGAACCAGTGTCAAGGACACGTAAGCTTTGATTCCACCACCTCACAGTTTGTGGTCTTAAAAACGACAGTTTAATTCACTGTGCACCCATACATGGCGATACTTGTCCGTTTTCATTAAAAGATAAGTTTTTCCAAAATATATGCTGTTTTCTTTGAACGCATACTGGTTTTCTTCAACCAGACAGCTTTTCTCTCTGGGTTAAAACATGACTAGCACACGGTAGCGCCTGCATCTCTCCTTTGCCCACGCCTCCACAGTGCCAGACACGTACCACACACACGTGCACACACACAGGAAGCACGGACAAAGTCGGGCGCCCACAAAGCTGTCCGTGTGGGGGTCTCCCGCCGGCACCCCAGCCTGGTGAGTGGTGGGCCTCCTCTCGGCTTTGCGAGGCAGGCTTGTCAGTGACTTACTTTTACAGACAGGCGACTTCCCCGTCCACTTCATGTCCACTTTGCAGGTGCGGTGCTCAGACCCCCCGGACAGGAAGAACCCTGGGTGGCAGGTGTACACCAAGGTGTATCCAAAGGTGGGCAGGTCGATGGCCCGGACGTCTGCATGGGCCGGCGTCTCCGGCTGTCCGCAGGTGTGAGCTGCAACGGCATTCATCCTGTTAGGGGGCACAGAAACCCGGCTTACTGTGCACTTAACCCATGAAGACATGAAGACATGAAGAAAGAGGGCGACAGTCTGGAAAGGCTTTATAGTTACTATGTATTTTGGAAGTGTGAACACAGTATCAACTGAATTATCACCAGTACCCATCCCCCCTCCCTCTGCACCTTTCAACACCAGGGAGAACTGGTGTCTGTCCCCTCCCTCCCTCCTCTCTGCCATTCTCTCTCCCTCTATCCCCGTATATATACACACACACAAAAGTAGCTTACAGTTATGAGTATGCAAAACACAGAACTTATTCCTGAACTATTATTTCATAGTTATTGTATTATTTCCCATATGAATTTCTCCCAGCCGACGCTGGCCCACCCGTGTGTATGCATATATGGCCTTCTCTCCACAAGTGTGTGTGGTTATTTGGAGAAATTTAGAATAGAAATCACAGCTTTGAAATAACATACACTGTTTGGGACATACCAGTGAGATCAGTAACATGTCGGATTTCCTCAGACAGCCAGTCCTACAAACTGAACGAATACAGACTGGCACATGGGTAGAAATGTGCCTTGATTTTGGTCTCAAGGCCAATAAGTGAATCGACTACTCAGTTAAATGAATAATTAATTTTGGTGAACATGTGGTGCGTGTCTAGTGATTGAGTTACTAGAGAGTCTCGTTCCCTTTCCAAATATAATTTAGGAATCAGCCAGGTTTCAATGTTCAGATGTCAGGTAACTTCACATTCTTTCTAAAGTTTATCCACTGATACACGCCCCAAGTGAAGGGCTGGGCAGACTGTTACGGAATAAGTTTATGACGTTACAATTGTGAACGCAGCTGTTGGAAGCATCGTCATAGTCTTGACTTCAGCAAACGCCAGTGCCATGCAGACCCGGTATCAGGAGGCTGCCCACGCACAGGTGTGAGCACAAGCGTGTGTCTGTGTGTGTGTGTTAACACCCACATACATAATTTGAGTAGTGATTGAGGGTCGAGTTGATAGCTTTGAAATAAATGCGTATCTCCCAATACTGATAAATACACACAAATATCGTATCTTATCTACTATGGGGGTAATTTTTACAACATTCTGCTCTTACGATATTCACCACTGAGAGAGAGATGCCAAAGAGGTGTGGGTGGACGCTGACTCGCAAACCATCCATCCAGCAGGGTGAACACGTCTCCGAATGCTCACAGCTTAGTCAGGACATAAACTCGGATTCTGAGGAGCCGTGGGAACAGTCGGTCATTTCCAACATTCCTGCTGACCCCTGGACACCTCGCCTCAGCCACTTGGCCCTCCCCCGCAGTCAGATGGGGATGCGTTAGAAGGATGGCGGCTTCCTCCCTGTGATGCCACTACACTGCCCTGCACTGTGGTGAAGGGTTAGGGGGCCTTCTCCGGCTCGTGGGGACCCCGAATCACCTAGAGCGCCAGGTAGGCCAGACACTGTCCCTCCTCGCCCGGCCTGCCCTGTCCCGGGGTTTCTGATTGGCGAGTGTGGGCTGGGGGCGAAGAACCACCTCCCCCACCCCCGGGTCCACTAAACCCCCAGGGGACGCTGATGCTGCTCGTTCTAGGGAGTCCAACTTTGAGAGACACTAGTTTAGGGAACTAAAAAACCATCAATCAAAAAAAAAAAAAAAACCAGGCCAGCCTCCCATTACCTCCCTTGAAGGGAAGCCCTCCCCAGACCCTGGGGGGCACCAGCGGTGGGGCCGCGCGGAAGGGCTCACTCACGGATGCACTCCGTCTGGGTCCCGCTCCATGTCAGGTTGGCCAAGCAGGTGCGTGTGGTGGAGCCCTGGACGTGGTAGCCTTTCCTGCACCTGAAGAACACTGTGCTTCCCACCTGGAAGGGGGATGGGATGAGGGCTCAGAGGTGCGGCAGGCGGAGGTCCCGGGCCATGGTGTGGGGGGGCGCCCAGCCCCAGTCCCTCTGGTGTCACCGAGCCCTTAGACCCAGTGAGCTGTGCGCACCAGAGGGGCTCCCTGGAGTGTTGAAAGTACAGTGTTCCTCTCATTTCTGCCTCACCTCTCTTCACTTCACTTTGTCCTAATTTTCCCCCCACTTTTCCCTGCTGCTCCCATTTTAAGCAACGGATACTTATTAGTGAATTGCTGCTGTGGACACTTCTGGGCACTGGCCAACCCTGTTCCATCTGAGCTCCCTTCAAAACTCCATCCAGGCCGAAAGCTTCAGATGGAGTGCGTCTGCTCACCGCCGCGTCTTTCCGCCAGGCCTCCGCCAAGCGAGCTGCTTCCCCCTGCAGCCTGTGCCTGGAGGTGCCCTGGAAGGTGCCAGGTGCCAGGAAACGTGATTTCAGAGACCGAGTTACAGTCACGTGTGGAGAGATCGCTCATATCCAGAACACGAGACCAGGGCCTGGGCGAAGAAACCTGCCACGAAAGGTGGTCTGAGCTGGCAGGCGGCCCTGTGTGGGGTCGGGACCCACTGTGCCTGGAAATTCCATTTCGAAGCCATGTGAGTGCTCTGCTCTGCGCTCCGAGACCCCTCACATGGGGGTACTCGGACCCTCTGCCTCTGGGCTGTCCCCTGTCCTGCCCGCGTCTCCCTCGTGGGACTCTGGGAGGCGTGATGGTGAGCAAAATGCCCGGAGGCAGTCGCCCCTCGGAGGAGGGATGGTGAGAGTCGGAGACAGTAGCAGCTTCTCAGCCCTGGCCCCTAAGGACGAGGTCCGTATTTCTTCTAGAAAATGCACATTTATCTGAACTTCATGAGAAGAACTAGAACACAAGTCCAACGTGGGATCAGGGGCTGGTCCCTGCCATTCTCCCCTGGAATCTGGCTGTGAGTTCAGGGAGACCTTCTGGTGACCTGCTGATGGGGGTCGGCAGGGGGGAGATGCAGGACCCTCGTCACCGGCAGGAGGAACACGGGGGCCTTCGGGAAAGGGGCATTCCCAGCAGGACGTGCCTGGCCACTGGGGGTGCAGCGGCACCAGCTGCCAGGGGTCAGTGAATTTACGGGGCCTGGCCAGAAGGAAAAGTGGAGCTGAGCACCTGCACTGAGTGACTGGCAGCACAGGACACAGGGACGGTCCCAGGCTGATGTGGCCCCTTCCCCTTCACGTGTGTGAAGCCGCAGCGCACCACACAGACAGAAACAAGCAGTGTCTAACCTGCTGCACTCAGAACCCGCCAAGCCCCAACCCCTGGTGGGAGGCTTCTTCTTTAAATGACCAGCAAACCTCAGTCTGAGCCCCAATCTGTCACTCATGGGGGCACCACATGCCTTCGTCATCAAGGGTGAGGGGTGTCCTGTTCCCTTAGCTTCAGATGGACCACAGTGCACAGCCCAGCACCGCTCCCATCTGGTTTCCTGTCTGCAGGCTGCACATGGGCAGCTGAGGGACCGCGGGGACCCCGCTGACCTAGACTGGAGCGCTGCAGTGGGACATGGGAGAGACAGCGCCTGCAGCCTTCTCTCCATTCCTGCCTCTGGTGCGGCCCGCCGCATGCCAGACAGCCTGTCCCTGAGGCCTGGGGCGACCACAGGGTGGGGGGACCTGCTCGCCTCAACCCTGGAGCCCTGAGGGCTTCCTTCGCCGGGGGGGGGGGGCGCCAGTGGGAGGTGCTGTGTGCGTCCCCCCAGTGCAGCAAGGGGGCCTCGGTCTCAGTGGGGACGGGAGTAGGGGCCAGAGAGAAAGGAACTCTTCCTGACGTGTGAGCAGGGAGCACAGCTGGCTGCTTTCAGGCCTGGCCCCCGACGGCCCTGGGTCCCTCGGTCACTGGACGGGGTCGCAACGGTGCATCTGGAGCCGCTGACCTTCCACTTTCACTGACTCCTCTCATGTTTCCTGAAATGCTCATGCGCTTTTTATTTTAAAAAGTCCGGTGGATGTTGGAAAGTGGTATTGAGTTCGCTGGTAGTTCATCGAGTTCTAAGTGACCGTGCGGAGAAGAGCGACCACACAGTCCTCTCAGCCTCGGGGGCTGGAATACATGGACTGAAACACTGGCCCACTGTTTGGGGTCACCACATGGGGTCCTTCTCCATGGAGCTATTTAGGGGTGACGTGCACTAATTCGAGAACAGCCACGTCAGCTCCGCAGAGGAAAAAAATGCAACACACACGTGTTTTCAGACTGAACTCAGGAGGGCAATTACCGTGAGGTGAGTTAGGAGAAGCCCACGCCGTCTCAGGCGTGAGAGTACCCCCAGCAACAACTCCAGTGGGATGAGTGCCGTGTGGACCAGCGTGACAGAAATCAGACACAGTGTGTGAAAACCTGCATGCGTGTTTACCTTCGGTGGCGTGTTATACTCACAGAGAACGCAGGGAAGTAAACACGCCATACGTACCTCGTATCCACTTGAGCTGTTCTGTACCCCGAAGGGCGGTGTGCCGGGGTCCGGGCAGGCGTTATGGGCAGGGTCTGCAATTTACGATTAAGAAAACAAAACCAGAGGCCGGCTCTGGTTCACTTGCCACCATTTCCCCTCGAAGGTCCCCCAGCTGCGAGAAAACTGTGTTCTGACAAGTGTGCAGGTTGTGTTTCACGACAACTGGGAGTTGAATGGTTACTCTCACCTTCCCTGGCATCTTTTAGGGGTGGGCGGTGAGTGCTTTCTCCACCCTACACTGCGTGTGTGCGAGTTTCTGTGTCAGAGCAAGCACACCCTCTCACACTCTGGTTTACGTTTTTCTCCTGGCACGTTAAACAGGCTGGTTCATGAGGCTCCGCCTTCAATAACCATCCGTAACAGTTCTCGGTTTTTAAACAGTTCTCTGAAGGGCCAGCTCCTCTGGTCATCCACAGCTTCCTTCAATTCTCCTAAATTCATTTTCCTCAAAACAGAGGAAATACACTTCATGCTTCAGAACCGAAGCCCGTGCTAGGCCGACTGGCCTTTCCCCAGAATGCAGGGGCATCAGCCATCAAGAAGCACGAAGCTGTGTGATGGGAGTCTCTTCAGCTGCTACAGGGAACCTAAAAAATGGTTTTCAAGAGAAGCTAGGCTATTGGGGAAGAAATGTGTCTTCAGTGCAGAGACGACTACCAGGCGGCTGCCGCGTAAATCAGGCGGGGGAGGCCTTTCTGTAGCCAGAGAAGGCCAGGTGCGTCACTGGGATTATTTGTCCAGGGTGCCTTTGTGTTTTTTAAGCTGCATCACTCGGTTTCTTAGAGAACCACCGGGACCACAGACCGTCAGCTGTGCAGCACAGACACAGAGCTGACGGACCAGGTTTGCCCAGCTCGGACTGGGGGGCTCCCACAGCGGCTGTGCTCCAAGGGGGGACGGCGGCTCTGGTTTATGTGTGGCTGAGGCTGTCACCAGGGGAATCCCTGCCTGAGCAGAGTTTCAACCTACACACGGGGGCTTCGGGACATTAGGGGACATGGGGACATTAGGACACGAAGACGGACTCTTCCAACTTGCAAGTTTGGTCCCCACACTCTAAGGCCATCGGAACCCAAGTGCCCATGTGACTCTGTCATTGCCACCAGCCTGGCTGGCTCTGTGGGGACAGAAGTGACAGACAGGCATCGGGGGAGGCAGGGCAGCGGCATGGCCAGCCGTCTGTCCTCCTGGCTGCGCTTGTTCTGGAGAATGGCAATGACAAGGGCTGGAGTGCACCTAACTGTGCGAGTGTCAGATGACCTGGGCAGGGGGTGGGGACCATGTGGCAAGAGACCAACATCTAGGAGCTACCTTAGCTGATTTCTAACCTGAACTCCAAGTTCATTTGCGTGATTGAAGCGGGGGTTGCGTCAGCACTCACACAGGCAACCACCCCTGGGGACACCGTGTGCCCACAGGCAACCCGGTTTCAGAACAGTGTGTCCTCCCCCCAGACCCCCGCCCAGGAGGACTTGTCATCCTCACCGATGCAGGTGGGCTGCACACCGCTCCACGAGCCGTCCGCCTGGCAGGTCCTGCTGGGGGAGCCCACCAGGACGAGGGGCGGCGTGCACTGGAAGGACACTTCAGACCTGAAGGTGAAACTTCTGCCACTGAACCGGCCCTCCGCAGGGGTGCCGGGGTCCCCACAGAACACAGCTGCGGTGGGAACAATAGGAAAGTCAGCCGTGGGGGGCCTCGGGGTCAGGTGGCCTGCTAACCCCCCCTAGGTTCTGGGCCACCTCTCAGTGCAACTCTCGGATCAATGGGACGGAGTCTCCCCTGGGCAGTGTGGGCTCAGAGTGGACATTCACCCGTCGTAGCTGGCAAGACAGGACAAGGGCCGCTGTCTCCTCAAATGTAACCTCGGGGGCCCCTGCCGTTGTGGACGCAGGGGCGCCCCAAAGAGCACATCGTGCCGGGGGACTTACGCAGGCACTGGGGCGTCTCCCCTTCCATACGCCCCTGGCCTTCGCAGGACAGGATGGCGGGCTGAGACAGCTGGTAGCAGGCCTCACAGCCGTAGCTGACACTGGCGCCCCAGCGGAAGTCTGCTCCCTCCACTTCTGCATGCGGGACGCGGGGCGGTGGGCTGCACAGGACCGCTGCAGGCGAAGCACATGCGTGTGAGACAGTGCAGCCTCCCACCACGGCCGTTAGGGACAGGTGCAGAGTGGTCTTTACATGCAGGAATTATCAAGGAGGTGGAAAATCACAACAATCAGAGGTTTCCCTAATGTGTCTCCCTTACTTAGACGGTGGTCTTCTACCCTCCTCTTCACAGGGCAGACATAACCTAATCAGTAAACGTCTGCAGCAAGCCAGGAAGTATATTTGTGGCCAATGTAACAAAAATAGGAGTAGTTTTGATTCACTCACACTGGATGGCTGCTGTTGTGTTGGCTGTTGTCACTTTTTAAGAAATTTGAAAACCTCAGGGAAAAGAGGTCAGTGCCCCTGACTGTGAAATAGTCAAGTACTGGGGGTCTTAAAGCTTCTTGCAGGGCCTCATCTGAAGCTTGTGGACTTAGACCAAGGACAGAAAAGCACGGCAAAACACGCTGTGAGGAGAGCAGGTCCTGGCAGGACACGCCCAGTGTGTCTGCGGCCGAGAAGGGGAGCGAGCTCCCAGTCCATGTGTCCCTTCACGGCGGCCACCAAGGGGAAGGGGGCTCAGGGCTTGGTCACATGACTTGAGCACAGGCTTGTGGGTTTGCACAGAAAGAGGGTCAGCACTTCTCTGCGCTGTTTTTCTGTGTAAAGACTGTACATACTTTCCAAAGACACAGACTGCTGATCCCTCTGCTGAATTGTAAAAACAACAAATGCTTGAATGGTTAAAGAAGATTCCAGAACGTACCACTTGCCAGAGGTTCACAGCTGTCTTGCAGCCTCATGTGCATTTTCCGTGGGAAACACAGTTGTCAGGGGCCACGCACGTGCCGGGCGGTGCGGGTCGCCCACCCACCTTCCTCACTACAGCCATCAGCCTAAGAGGCCTGCAGGGGTGGGGTGGGGGTGGGGCCCATCTGAGAACCTCCCCTGAAGACCCAGGAGCTTCCTGGACTCACCACACCGGAGGGCGTTTGCCAGGGACAGTTTCGGCTGCAGGAAGAGCAGCTCCCCTGCCGTTTCTCCCTCTGACCTGACTCTGACCTGGACCCACCATGTCCACCCTGAGACTTAACCCCGCTGGTTAGCACACTCACCAACACAGACAGACACAAGGGCTCCAAAGGAGGGCTGCCCTTCGAACTCTGAACTCTGACCCCTCCAACTCCTTATGGGAGACCCTGACCTCCACCAAGGCTGTCTGTGAGCCAGGTTGGCCCCTGAGAGCTGAGAGGACGGCCTTGAGGAAACCAAGTGAAATTGTTCTTGGAACGCTAGACATCATACATCAACCACCATACTGTGCCATGAAAATTCCTTCTGCTTCTCAAATTGAGCATGTTAGTACAGTCACGAGCGTCCAAGCCGGGGGTCATTTATAGAGACGTTTCACACACCACACTGAGTCTCTCGCTGTGAAGAGAGGGCCTCTTTCGGGGAACCTGAAGCCGCCTGCCGACCCCCTTCCCAAAGCAGCACACAGCTCCTGCGGTTTGCCTACAGTCCTTCCCTCCCCTGCCCCAAGAGCCTCCCCCAACTCGTCAGCGAGTGTTTGTGAGGTCTGTGGAGTAGCACCCCAGTTCCACCTGGAACCCCAGTTCCACGAATTTAACGAGGACACCTCTGTCCATTTGCCCAGGTGTGTTGCCTTTGGAAGTATCATGTGATCCTCCTCTTTTTCAGGCAGAAGAGGGATGAGTCATTTTGAATTTAAAATCTCTCTCAGAAGGTCAGCTGCCTCAGTGAGGGGGAGCCTTGCATTTTGCCCCCATAAGGGGGACGGTCGGACGCAGAGCAGCCCTGTGCTGAAATGTTTCCCCCTTGGGCTGGAACAGGTCTGTGACCCCCACAGGCCCGAGAGCAGGAGAGCATCCTGGGAGGCCCTCGCCCTGCCTGTCCCCCCCCCCTTCGCTGGCCTGTGGCCCCACACTCTCTGTGCAGATCACGCGGGGAAGAAGTGAACTTCTATATATGACTTGTTTTAGTTTTGCTTGTCTAGTTAGCATTCCTGGTTGAGTCTCAGGATTGATGAGACAATAAATGTCATTTAACACAGTGAGCTATTGGAATTCCTCATCGGGACTGAGCAGTGGGCTGAGAATAATTAAAAGCTCATCCAACTTGAAATCACGCCGAGTGGTGCGGGGCATTAGCCTGTCCCAGTGAAACCAGCTCCGTCACGGCACAGCCCACGTGCTGCTTTGCGTTTTAATACGAGGGTGTGCACATTTCAGTATGATACATGTTTTCTGACTGTTTTGCCAAAAAAAATAAAATAAAATCTGGTGATTTAACATTTGCAAATGAGTCCGCAGGAGTTCCTAGCTCACAGAAGGGCTGCGTACGTGCTGGAAAGGGAACGGGGGGGTAGCATGGAAACAACTTTCCCCGGGTGACAAGAAAGCCACCTCGAGGCCACACAGACCTTTGCAGACGGGCTTGCTGTGGCTCCACACGCCGTCCGCGGTGCAGCGGAGGGCAGCTGCTGCCACAGGCTCCAGGATGTAGCCAGGGGTGCACTGGTAGCTCACGGTCTTGTCGAAGGTGAAGTCCATCCCAAACTGGATGCCGCTGGCCGGGGTCCCTGGGTCTCCACAGCTCACAACTGCTGTGTGGGAGAAACACAAAACTGACATGAAATGACTTACTTACGTAGTTTCTGGCCACATGACCCCCCGAGGGTCTATTCAAAGTGTTTTACCGGGAACTGTTAGAGCAACCTGCTCCTTAAGGGCTTTGCTGCTGACCAGCGTTTGGAATCGCTTATTTCTGCTCCGTTGGAAGCTGGTCACCTTCCTCCCCGGTCCCCAGCCATGCCAGGGGTGTGACCACACCCCCAGGGTGAAGGGCTAAATCTGCATCACCAAACCTGGAGCCTCTCGTACTTCCCTACAGACTAAGTGGCCCACAGAGAGGACAACCTGGGCTTTGGGGGCCTCCGTGTGACAATGCCCTGCCCCTGGGCCATTTACGGTAGTTTCAATCACACAAGTAGGAAAGTGAGGAAAAACGATAAAAATGTCCAATAACTAGAATCAGGATATCCAACCAAGCCTGGCATGTGCTTTTTCTCTCTGAGTTCAACAGTTAACGCCACACTTGAAGAAATAAACCCAGGCGTCTCTGACCCGGTGCCGCCAGGGCGCCGGCTCCTGACCTGTGCAGTCGGGCACGGTGCCCGTCCAGGTGCCGTTGGCTGTGCAGTGCCGCATCGTCAGCCCCGTGGTCCGGTAGCCCTCCCAGCAGGCGTAGATGAGCGAGCTGGAGAACAGGATGCCGTCGCTGCTGACAATCCTGCTGTGGGTGGGTGTGCCTGGGTTCCCGCAGGACACGGCTGTGAGGGGCAGAGACAGGGCACGGGGGTGTGACCCCTCCTGAGGGTGCCAAGGCCGGGGCCCCAGGGGCATCAGAGCGACTGGTGGAGGATGGTCGCTCTTCCCGAGGGGGTCAATGTACGTCTCACTTTACGACTCACACCATCGTTTTCTGTGTTACATTCTTACACTGCGTACATTGTGATACAGTTAGGTTATAGACAATGTACTGAGATTGTATACGTAGATGTTACATTCTAATGCTCTGTATAACGTGATAAAAGAAGACACGGGTGCAAGGAGAGATGGCTTAGTAGAGCAGAAAAGGGTGAAGTGAAAGAAAACTTGACTGGCATTTTTTTGTATTGATATTCTGCCAGCTTATCCATGTCCATCGATTTATATAACAAATATTCATCCACATGGAAACAGTTGTGTAACTTGTGTGACCACTGCACTCAAAAGTTCAGAGAGGCTTGCACACAAAAAAAAACCCTCACAGGCAGTGCCCGAGACCGGCACCAGCGATTTCTTGGACCCCAGACAAATCCGTGTCCCCCTGCCACCGTGCTAAGGCAGCCAGGCCCGCACGTGATGCAGTGTCTGTAAAGCATCTGTGGCATTTTGCTGTCGTCACTGGGTGTCTCCCCATCCCCGCCCTGCCTCTGCAAGGTGACAGTGAAGTACATTCACTCAAATCAGGACACAGGAAACCACCCCGAGTGACCTGTGGCACAGGGCGCTGCACACAGGCTGGCGGAGCCCTGGAAGTGGGGCGCACACGGAGACCTGCTTCTGCTGCAGAAACCCCGTCGGCGCCTCCACGCTCAGGCTGGCCGGTCCCTCACTCAGCTCCTCCCCACCGGCCACCGCAACATGTGACGAAAGCACTAACTGTGTCACCAGCAGGAGGCTAGGAGCCTGTTCAGGCTGTAAGCCCTCAGAGGGTGCGAATGGACGTCACATGGCCCTTTGAACAAGGTGTCTCCGTCTGCGCGGTCTGTTTCCTTCGACTCTCCGACACGGGGTGGGGAAGGCAGCCTTGCCGTGCAACCGTCTGAACCTCTCTGGTCACGTCTGAGGAAATTGCATGTCTGACCGTGAGGCGGCCTTGCAGGCCCGGTTCACTCACCTTCACACGCAGGCTGCAGCCCTGACCAGGACCCGTTGAGCAAGCAGGTGCGCTCGGCGGAGCCTCGCAGCAGGTAGCCCACCTTGCAAGAGAAGCGGAGGAGGCTCTTCATCCTGAACTCGTGGCTGAGCCGAACCCATGGGCCAGGGTCCCGGGGTCGCCGCAGAGCCCAGGGCTGTTTCCTGTGGGCCACAAACTCACAAGGCAGAGCCCAGTGTGGTTAGACTCCATTAAACCAGAGAGTCACAATCCGGAAACATGTGCCGAACAGGGGTCACGATTCCACGGCCTTGCCGCAGGCTAGGGAAGGAGATTGTATCACAGCACAGAAACTGGTCTGTGTCCCCTGAACACCAGCCATCTGCTGGGATGCGGCTGAGGCCCCCATCAGGACTTTGGAGAGGAGACAGGACACTGGGCGGATGGAGGTGGGGCCTGCCCAGGGGAGTGTCTGTGTGAGTGCGGAGGGGACATCGGGTCAGGGCCAGTGGGGACTCAAACACAAGTCCAAGGGGGGTTTGATTCTTCCAAATTATGCCCAGGGTTGCTGAGTCCCTGCACATTCATTTCTATGAATGTTTATATGACAAATGTTCATGGAAAATTAAGATGATTACTTTTTCAAGGACCGTGAACAGAATTATCGACTGCAGACACAGGGGAGACGTGGAAGAATTCAGAGGAAACGCAGAAAAAGAACAAAGAGCAAACAGGGACATTCTGGGCCAGCGCCCAGCACAGGTGACAGAGCAGCTCTGGACTCTGCAGGATAAAGCAGGACGAGCAGGTGATGAGCACTGAGGATGAGGAGGATGGAATGGGGACAGACTCCTAGGCAGAGGGCCGGCTGTCGGCTCTGGTGGGTGCTGGGGGTCAGGGGTCGGGGGTGGAACAAACAAGGAAAAGAGAACGGGCTCAAAGACTCTGACAACTGCCTGGTGATTGTGGGGGGTATGGAGGTGCAGAAGGGCTCAAGGGCAATAAACAATGATAAAAATAAAAATAAAATATTGAGACTAGTTAGAAAGACAATGATGATATATAATAAAGGCATATTTGACTAAAAGAGAACTATTAAGAATTTCAAAATAATTGTATTCTCATGCAGTGTTTCAAATAATTGCACAGTTATGTCATCAATCAACTGCAAACTCATCTCTCACTGACACAGTCATTCTCACCTGCACAGCCATCACTCACCTGCACAGCCATCTGTCACCTCCACAGCAATCTCTCACCTGCACACTCATCACTCACCTGCACAGCCATCTCTCACCTGCACACTCATCACTCACCTGCACACTCATCACTCACCTGCACAGCCATCTCTCACCTGCACAGCCATCACTCACCTGCACGCTCATCTCTCACCTGCACAGCCATCTCTCACCTACACAGCCATCACTCACCTGCACAGCCATCACTCACCTGCACAGTCATCACACACTTGCATAGCCAACACTCACCTGCACAACCATCACTCACCTGCACAGCCATCTCTCACCTGCACAGCCATCTCTCACCTGCACACTCATCACTCACCTGAACAGCCATCACTCACCTGCACAGCCATCTCTCACCTGCACAGCCATCTCTCACCTGCACACTCATTTCTCACCTGCACAGCCATCACTCACCTGCACAACCATCACTCACCTGCACAGCCATCTCTCACCTGCACCACCATCACTCACCTCACACTCATCACTCACCTGCACAGCCATCTCTCACCTGCACTTCATCTCTCACCTGCACAGCCATCACTCACCTGCACAGCCATCTCTCACCTGCACAGCCATCTCTCACCTGCACACTCATCTCTCACCTGCACAGTCATCTCTCACCTGCAAGCTCATCACTCACCTGCACAGCCATCTCTCACCTGCACACTCATCTCTCAACTGCACACTCATCTCTCACCTGCACACTCATCACTCACCTGCACAGCCATCTCTCACCTGCACAGCCATCTCTCACCTGCACACTCATCTCTCACCTGCACACTCATCACTCACCTGCAAAGCCATCTCTCACCTGCACAGCCATCACTCACCTGCACACTCATCTCTCACCTGCACAGCCATCACTCACCTGCAAAGCCATCTCTCACCTGCACAGCCATCTCTCACCTGCACACTCATCACTCATCTGCACACTCATCACTCACCTGCACACTCATCTCTCACCTGCACACTCATCACTCACCTGCACAGCCATCTCTCACCTGCACACTCATCTCTCACCTGCACACTCATCTCTCACCTGCACACTCATCACTCACCTGCACAGCCATCTCTCACCTGCACAGCCATCTCTCACCTGCACACTCATCTCTCACCTGCACACTCATCTCTCACCTGCACAGCCATCTCTCACCTGCACACTCATCACTCACCTGCACACTCATCACTCACCTGCACACTCATCTCTCACCTGCACAGTCATCACACACTTGCATAGCCAACACTCACCTGCACAGCCATCATTCACCTGCACAGCCATCTCTCACCTGCACACTCATCTCTCACCTGCACACTCATCACTCACCTGCACAGCCATCTCTCACCTGCACAGCCATCACTCACCTGCACACTCATCTCTCACCTGCACACTCATCTCTCACCTGTACAGCCATCACTCACCTGCACAGCCATCTCTCACCTGCACAGCCATCTCTCACCTGCACACTCATCACTCACCTGCACACACATCACTCACCTGCACAGCCATCTCTTGCCTGCACACTCATCTCTCGCCTGCACAGCCATCACTCACCTTCACAGCCATCTCTCACCTGCACACTCATCTCTCACCTGCACAGTCATCACTCACCTGCACACTCATCTCTCACCTGCACACTCATCTCTCACCTGCACACTCATCACTCACCTGCACAGCCATCTCTCACCTGCACAGCCATCTCTCACCTGCACACTCATCTCTCACCTGCACACTCATCTCTCACCTGCACAGCCATCACTCACCTGCACACTCATCACTCACCTGCACACTCATCACTCACCTGCACACTCATCACTCACCTGCACACTCATCTCTCACCTACACACTCATCACTCACCTGCACAGCCATCTCTCACCTGCACAGCCATCTCTCACCTGCACACTCATCTCTCACCTGCACACTCATCTCTCACCTGCACAGCCATCACTCACCTGCACACTCATCACTCACCTGCACACTCATCACTCACCTGCACACTCATCTCTCACCTGCACAGCCATCTCTCACCTGCACACTCATCACTCACCTGCACACTCATCACTCACCTGCACACTCATCTCTCACCTGCACAGCCATCTCTCACCTGCACAGCCATCACTCACCTGTACAGTGGGGCAGGGTCCCGCTCCAGTGACCATCCTCTTGGCAAACTCTGGTGCTGTTGCCCATGAGGCTCCGGGCCCCATGGCAGGAGTAGTGAACCACAGCCCCGTACGTGAACACCTCCCCTGTGACAACGGCATTGGCCGGGACACCTGGGTGCCCACAGGATACAGCTGAAGGGAAACGAAGGAACCACTGTGCATGGTGTCCCCATCACACCACTCTGCATCGGTGAGACACGCCCACGCACACTCCCCTGGATGCTGGCGTGGCCCCACGGCTCCCTGAACACACTTCCCCACCTGGACCCCCACACATCACTGCAGGCAAGAGCAGTCCTGCCCGTGAAGAGGTTTTATAAGTCTTGAATCCAAGTGGCTTTGCCTAAGACACACATTCACCTTCAGGCTTTTCAAAAGAAAGTCACTCCAGGTAGACTTTTCCATCTGCCCTTAACCGTATCCCAAATAAGCGGTATTATTCAAAATGCTACAAGTTAACATAGATTCCTCAAAGCCATTTCCACTCTTTCTTCAGTTAGATGACAATCGTGTATAATAATTTGGGAGAAAATCTGTTTCATATGCTTACTCTTTGAGTTCTGACAGCTCGGAGATGGCTCTAGCAATTTCTCTTTGAATAGCTAAGAGTCTGAAATGTTTGTCCAATAATAATAAATTATTGATTAATTTGCTTTTCAAGTCATTCTGCAATATAATTTCAGTATTCCCATTCATTTTCTTAAACTCACACCAAATCAGACCCATAATTTATTCAGAAATTATCCCTCAAGAAGCCATATTTTGGACCCCAGATTCACATGGGATAATAAGGATTTCTCTTTCCCTGTTGAGAAAGCCCCAAATCAGGATTAATAAGACAAACTTTATGCTACCTGCGAACCGCTCATGGGACTCAAGTCCTCAACAGATGGTCACAAGGCCACTGCAGTGCCACCCAAGGGTCATCACGGTGAGTGGCAGCCCCAAGGGAAGCAGCCTGAAGGCCAGCCGGAGGGCGTGACTCATCCAGAGTCCGCGGTCGCCCTCGGGGTGGCGGCGGCTCGTTCGGGAGAACAAGACAGCCGCTCACTGCACATCACGCTTGATCTGGACAGACAGGGGCCTAAGGAGAAGCCGATTTGAGCCGAATCGGTGAGAGCCCTGGCCCATGACCAGTGCCAGGGGGAAATGAAAGAAAGCGGATCAAGGGAACCAGAAGGGCGAAGCCCGAGATGCCACTCGGCTGTCACAGAGCGGTGGGAATGGACCACCCCTCGGAGGACTCTGCTCCCACGTGCCTGGCAGTTCCAAAGGTTAATGACCGCAGGGGGTGGGGGGAGGGGGGAGCCAGCCACCCAGGAACAAGTGAGCTGGTGAGAACTTGCTTCCCGGAGATTGGGAGCACCTTGGCATGGTTACAAAAACAAATGCAGTCTCACACAAGACAAGGAAGGCTTCCAAGAAATGTTTGGGGAGAAAAAGAAAAAAGAATGATTTCTAAGAGCAATTCCCTTGTGTGAAGGCAAAGAAAACCAGAAAGTGGGCAAGATTGGGTGACGGCCCCAAGTTTACTGATGCGTTTTTGGTCTGGCGGGGCTGGGCGCCTCTCTGCACTCTTTTTCCATGGAGAAGGCCAGCCCAGTCACAGCCAGAAAGAGACGGGGCCCCACGTGGGTCGGACCGGTGGGGAAGGGCAGTGCCTGCGGGACCAGAACCTCCGGCCCCAGGCCTTTCTCAGACGCTCGGAGATGCTCCGCAGTGACAAGGGGCGGAAAGGGCCACCGGCCTCTCATCACACGCCACCCACGGGGGGCTTACAACCCTCCACTTCCTTCACGCACGTGGAATACACACTGAGAAGAGAAAATACTCATTTTAAAGGCTGTTTGCTTTCTGGCCAATTCATAAAGGGCCAAGGAGAGTAGCCCCTTTTCCTAAGTTTTAGGCTGTGTTCTGAGAAGATGGCCGTCTTTGAGCGCAAGGACTATGTGCTTTTTCAGGCAAAAAAAGATAATGTTTTTAGGGGGCTACCGCGGGGCTCCCAGATTCCGTCTGCTCACTGAAGCCTGTCCCTCACAGCACTCTGCCTGCCCCGAGTCAACCGTGCAAACAGAGAGGAAGCTACTTGAGGACGAGCCTCTTTTTTAGTGTAGGTACTATTGACCAGAAGTGCCCACGACACCCAAATCGGCCCCTGCAAGTGCTCCCCGCTCTGGCCACAGGTGGGAGGTCCACAGGTGGACTGTCCCCACCGGCACCTTGGCCCACGTTTCTGAACCCGGGCGAAGTGAGAGGCACACGGAGCTGGGCGCCCTGTCTGGCCGCACGCGCTTGGCCGTCTGCTGGGCGGAAGCAGCGACGAGCAGCGTGAGGAGAGAGGAGACAGATGGAGCTGGTCCCGTGGGTGCGTGTCTGGGCCGTCTCTCCCTGGGGCCAGGGGTGTGAGCATGCCAATGTCCCCCACCTGTAATCCCCCCAAACTAGTCTGAGCTGTCATTGGTGACTTTCCGCCAATCTATGCAGACATCATGATAACAATACAACCTGTGACTTGGGGGTTGGGGGGTAGAGAGAATTAAAAACCGACACCTTTGTGGCTCCTTGACAAAAAGCCCACTTGCTGAGTTGGGTTTTTCAGAGGCTCCTGGGGTGCCAGCACCCGAGACGGCCCCACTCACCCAGGCACTGGGGCAGAGAGCGGTCCCACAAGCCGTCCGCCGTGCAGGTGAGGGCGGACGAGCCGAGCAGGTAAAAGCCCTTCTTGCAGTGATACAAGACACTCGTCCCGTAGATGAAGCTCTCGGGGGGCCGCTGCTGCCTGTGGCGGACGGCGTTGTCCACGTAGCCTGGGTCGGAGCAGTTGACCACTGGGAAGAGACAGCAGGACACGTGGGGTTCAGAGAGAGCCACGCCCCGTCACCCAGGTTGACGGGGGAAGGAGGGGCCCCTTGCTGCCACGGAAAGGCCACCAGATGACTGCCCGCAGCCGGCTCGTCATACAATCCACTCCCCTGTGACGTCCCCTCACCGCCTTGGGCCGGAGGGGCTCAGACATGTCAGGTGCCCTACAGGCAACTACAGGGATTTTAGCAACGTGAGGCAAATTTCCTTGAACTACCTCTTTATAACGGCTCCTTCCATGGAAAGTCTAAACTCCAGTTTTCTTGGTTAAGCTTTTATGTTATGAAAATAACCTGCAACCAGCTGAGGCCCGTTTGGTTAAGTACTTTCCCCCGTGGGTGCTATTCCCGGACCGTGTCAGACAGTAATGAACCCCCCCCACACACACACTTTGGAGTGCGCCTGGAGTCTGCTGTCGGCCCCACAGGCGTGTGGATCCAGCGCCGGCCCCTTTCAGAAGGAGCCTGCGGGTGCCGGGCCTCGAACTCCGGTGAATGTGGGTGGCACCTCCGTAAGGCTGCAAGTTCACGGGCCCAGCGATGCTGAGCAGACGTGGGAGCCGCAAACGAGCGGGCGAGTGAGTGGACGGAGGAATGGGAGGGGCTCTGTCTTGGAAGCAGAGAGCCCTAGACGGCTCTGACTGAATGAACCTCTGTCCCGCACGGAGGCCCGGCCCGGAGAGATGCGCGTTCCCCTCGGGGACGTTTTCTACAGCGACGGAAGCCGTGCGAGGGCCTGCCACTTGCGGGGCAGCGCCCCTTGCCCAGGGAGCTTCCCTACCTCGACAGGCGGGCAGCGGGCTGCTCCACTGGCCACTGCTCCTGCACTGGGCCTGGGTCACGCCCTGCAGCTCGTAGCCCGTGTTGCAGGTGAAGTTCACCACGTCGTTCAGGTTGAAGGCGCTGCCATTGGTGAGCCCGTGGGCGGGGTTGCCGGGGTGACCACAGGTGATGGCTGTGGGGTGAGACAGGTGTGTGTCATCGTCAGCGAGTGAGCAGGTCACCCCTGTCACCTGGAGCTCGTCAGTAACCAGCAGCAGGTAGCTGAATGGATGGATTCCAGGGTTTACAACTAATCAGACACTGTAGTTGGAAGGAACTATTGGGAAAACACCACGGGCTGAACCCACAGGATTTTGGTAAAATTGTGGAAAATGCACCCCCAAAATGTACTTTTTTCATTATAATAATTACTATGTCTTACATTATGATACAATAACAAGTAATTTTCAAATAGAGCAATGAAAACAAGAGATGCTGAAATTTTTGCATTAATTATGAGTTTTGAATATTTTCGCCTTAGAACACCAGCTAATTTGGTAGAACCCTCGTTTCCAAATATTATGGGGGCTGATCGTTCAAACCGTGTGTGGATAAATGATGCCAATATGATCTCACATCAGGAAATTAGCAAAAACAAGTGTGCGCGTTAGACAGCATCGCTCTGACGACCCCTCTTGTGTGGTCCTCTGAGACGCAGCGAACTCTTGTCAGGTCAAGGCCAATCTAACGGCAACACAGACACCCTCTGCCGGCCCTTTCAAAGGAAAAACCACGTGACCGTCAGAAAACCGGAGTGTTTCTCCTTTATCTTGACGACACTTTTTCCTTCCAAGTGAAGCCTTCACCCCCTGGCTCTCCAGACAGTGCCTGCCTCTCTGCCACAGTCACAGACACATCCCCTCTGTTTCGTAAAGTGCAGGCGGGAGAAAATTTGGTTTAAGACCAAATCTGCGGTGCGGGTTCAATCTCTCCTGAAAACACTTCTCCGCGTTTACCTCGGAAGTTACCGAGTTTGAGGACGATCGTCACATGCCATTCGCCTCTTTCTATGGGAGAAAGCACCGGTCCCCAAACTCTGTGGTGTGAGGGGGTCCCTGGCAAACACACAGAACTGTGGGGGGTGGGGGGAGTGGGGCTGCTGAGGGGACAGTGCAGGGCCACTCGGATCTGCTCCTGTCCCCGTCCGCCCTGTGAGGACATCGGGGAGGAGCGCCACCCTCCGCTCCACCCTCCAGGGGAAGAATCCCTCCCAGGGGACTGATGGATTCTACAGGAGGGGACAGAACCAGAGCGGGAGGAACCCTGGGGACAGAAGGGGACGAGCTGCCCGGCGGTCCATCTCAGGAGAGGTCTCCACTCGGGCCTGTGCTCCAACTTGAAGCTGAGAGACGGGAGGAAGGTGGCCCCTGCCACCTGGGGGGGCCACTCACCAACACACACCGGGGTCTGTCCCGACCACTTGTGGTCTTGCAGGCAAATCCGGACGGAGGTGCCCACGAGCCGGAAGCCAGGGTTGCACTGGTACACCACGGTGTCCCGGTAGCTGAAGCCGTCCCCGCTGATGTGGCCGTTCACGATGGGGTCCGGGGACCCGCAGTGGCCCGCTGAAAGATCGGGAAACCAGTGAACACACTCCGCAGTCTTTTCATAAAAGGACTGTATTTCAAATGTGTGGGCCTTCACTGCCAAGCAGGTGACAGCACCAGACGTACACTTCAGTAAAAATGTGCCCTCTCTGTTTGTGACAGCACAGAGTTTTCCTGTCTAACTTGTCTTCTCTCAACGACGGTGGGTCAATAGTAATATTTCAAATATGAAGTTGTTCATGAGTTTATTTCCCCAATTATGATTTTCCCACGTACTTACTTTATCAGAATTTTATTTATGCTGTTAGTCTATTTCCACTGTGAGAGAATACAAAACATTTTGTGAGATTTCAAAGGAGGGAGAGGTGTCGGGACATCAGTTCGACTGCAGACACACGCACTGGGGTGCACCTGGGCCGGAGTCTTGGTGAGCTGAGCGTGGCCTGCACAGAGCTGGAGGCGGAGCCCGGAGCTGAGGGAGGGGCACACGGACGCAGAGTGGGTTCTGGAGGGACAGGGCCAGGTGGGTGGGGAAGTGGCAGGTGGCTGGGCCGCTGGGAAGAGGAAGGGCTGGGGCTCCACCCACTGACAGAGGGGTCTGACCGGTGAGGGGGTGACTGGCATCAAATAGGTTTCAATAGCAAAGCACCTACAAACAGGAATGGGGACGGTGTCCCCGAGGCACCGTCAGTCCTTCCTGAGTGTTTGGTGCCACAGACATCCTTCCGGTACTGCCCACAGGCCACACCCGGTATCTGCAGGGGTTGTTGCTTTGCTTGCTTCAAAGGGAGCAGGTGGACACAGAATGTTGTTCCTTATTTATCTCCACTATTAAAGTCCCAAGAGCAGGACCCCAGGCGGCACAGACTCGTCTGGCACCTGCCCGACCTGGAGGAGACGTGTGAGAAGGTGGAGGAATTCTCTTCCAAGATCTTATCTCCTCCATTGGTCCGGCTCTTGCTCCCAGTGGATGTGAGGCCGCAGCCAGGGACGCTGTGCTCGGGGGACCCCACGGCAGAGGCACGGGACCTCCCGGCACTGTCCCACATGGAGGTTTCTCTGCATCTTTGTTTCTGGGCTGAACTTTTCCGTTTCTGCTTGTGGAAATGTCACCTGCTCAGCAGCCTGACTCCCTCCGTGTCTCCTCCTGCTCCAGCCCTGTCCCCGACCCCTGCCGCAACCCTGTCAGATGCTTCTGCCACTCCCCAGTAATCCCAGCTGCTCCTTAAAGGCACTGGGTGTTTATCTCATTTACCACCTAGACTTTAAGTTCCTTAAAAGCAAGAGCCTCATCCTATGAACCTTTACATCCTATGTAGCATTTCTGGGGAATTAGATGATGGCCCTCAGACGACATTCAGACACCGGACAGTGGCCCTCAGCCGGGGGACAGGGGCATCGTGGCATCGCTGACCAGCCCCGATAATGCGCGTGCAGAGGAGAGCATCAGGGCGGCCGCGCCCGATGCGTTACCTTCCCAGGCCCCTGCACCCCGATTTACCTGAAGGTCCCCCAGCAAACACCGTGGGGCAGGGAGCACTCTTCCTGCCCCAGTGCCGCCCTCTTTGCTGAAATAAGCATTATCACTCTCAGCTGTTTTATGAAAAATTTTTACGTCGATCTCTCATAAAATGCAGGGCATTTGAAGAATACTTCCTGATGCGGCTCCTGAAGAACCAGGAAAAGTCAGGGCCCTACAGTGTTGCTCTGAATTGTGCCATGTGGCTATTTCAGCCACGTGACTGTCACCTTTATAAACTATTTTCCCAACCTCAACACCTCCAAGGTCATGATAGCGCAGCAAACGCAAACTTATTCCAGCCATTGCAGGGCATTCTAACGGAACGAGGATAAGGCTCAGGTGGCAACCGTGCCCATCTGTCACGGGCGCGGGGGACAGGACGGATGGCAGAGGTGACAGCGTGGAGGACCAGCCTGATTTCGTGTGGAGAGTGTGGATGGTGCAGACTGTGAGCTCAGACCATTCAAAACACCCCGGTTCTGCTCAGTCCCGGGAGTGGCCCTAGTGTGGGGACAGCCGGATGCGTCCGCTCTGCTGCTTCCAGGGCTGTTGCGTGGTGAAAACATCATCGGATCACAGAGGGTCTGGAGGCAGTTAACTCGTTTTACCAGTCACGCAGGGCCCCAAAAGCAGCGTTAAAATCACGGTACTTTAAGCTGCTCATTCAACAAGTTCCATACACTTATTCAGGAGGCTTTTAAAGAGAAACACTTTCAACTCGGTTTCTCACAATTATCATGCAAAACACCTTAACTTCGGGGAGAGGAGACCAAGGCACTGCCCACACTTGCCCTTTAAAATGATTCATTGTACCTGCCTGGAGCCCTCTCGCTAACTTGTTGCCATAATTTGTAATTCTTTAAATGCATAAGCTCTTTTCAATTCACCTCCTCTGCTCTCTGTAAAACAGTGTTACATCACCTCAGGCATGGTGTGACCTCCATTTATTGGCCAGACTGGAAACAGCCCTACAGCTGCTTAGAGGTGTCAGCTGCTGTGAGACCCAGTGGGACAGATGGACGGACAGGCCGTCCCCTGCCTGGCCTGGCCGTGCTCTGCGTCCCAGCTCGCTGACCTGCCTGCTCCCGGGAGGTGGGGGTGGGGGGCGCTCACCCAGGCACCGCGTCTCAGAGCCGCTCCAGAGCCCGTCGGCCAGGCACTCGCGCACCGGCGAACCCACCAGGGTGTAGCCTGTGTTGCAGGTGAAGATGGCCGTGGCCCCGTACACGGTCAGCGTCCCGATCTTGTTGCCATTGGGGGGCGAGGACAGGCTTCCGCAAGAGATGACTAGGAGACAAAAGAGTGATGGTGTGACCCTCACCTCTGAAGGGTACCGAGTCACCTGAAAATAAGCGAATCTTCCGTCTTACTCTTCACCAAGAACTCCAGGGTGTCTGCTCAGGGCTAGGCAGGCCAGCCAGCTGGGAAGCTTAATTTTCCTTCTCTTTCCTCCTTGAAATGAAAGCTTGGAAGTTTAGAGTGGATTCCAAAATGGGCTGGGTCCCTTCAATTGCCCGGGTCTCCACCCTCGCAGGAAGCTAAGCCTTTCTTGAAAAAGCACTCAGTGCCCAAACACATTCACACCCAGGCCAATCCACCAGCCCCCCGGGCTCCTGTCCACCCCCTCTGCCTCAGTCACAGGACCACGCCCCCGTTTCTGGACGCAGGCATGTGCCCAGCAGGAGTTCAGAATGGTCGCTCCTGGGGTCAGGGAGGGGCAGGAAGTCCTGCCCCAATAACAGCTCCAGCTCATTTATTCTTCCAGGGACTTGCTGATTTGTTGGGGTCCTGAGCTCCATGCAAAGGCTGACTCGACAGCTGATGTATGGAGTCTTTCTAAAAAAATTAAAAAATGAGGAAGTCCAGCCCCTGTGTGGCTGGAGATGAGGTGACTATATGTCCCCAGGGTACACCTGCTGTCCCCACATCACCGCTGATGGTGCCCACTTCCGCCCCCGTGACTACGCCTGTTTGGGAGCTAAATTAAATGGTCGCTTTCGCCGGAGATGCGCACGACACCACGTGGTTCCCTGGGCTCCAAAAGCGTGAGTGTTGGAGCCCAGACGGCCAGTGTTGGGTCCACGTGGCCCAGCGAGCCTGCTACTGGGGTCTGCTCTCCTGGGCCTCCGTCAGAAGGGTCCCGGTGGCGACAGAACTATCGGAGCTTCGCCCTCCAAGGTTCCGTGGATTGGAAAGGAAAACTAATGGAGTGGGGCCTAGTACCAGCCGCAGGGTGATGCACCCCCCCACTGCCGTGCAGAGGCTCCGTGGCCCTGACCCGACACAGGGCAAGGGAAGCCCCCGGCCTGGGAGCCCTGCCTGATTGAAAGGGGGCCCCCAGCATGAAGGGAACAAAGAAACCACCCTTGCCAGACTTCCACGGCAAAGCCCCGATTCCGGGCTCTTCCCTCCATTCGAGTTCTGAGGGGAAATTTGCTCTCCCTCATCCACGGTGCGTGCGCACGTGGATGCTCCGGGGTGGACGTGGGACGCAGTCCTCTCTGGGAGTGGGGGTGAGCAAACGTGCCGTCAGCTGTCCGGGGGGCGATGTGCACCCCTGGAGCTACCTGATGCAGGCTGCACACACATGTGTGAGTTCTGAGACTGTCACTTCCGTGACACTGAGCGGTGGCCGCGTCCACTCCAACGTGGGAGGCAGGTGGCAAGGATGCCTTTCTCTGGTCTCCCCCGTGCAGGTGAGAGGGGCGGGCCGACGGGCTGGCACACCTGTGCACGCACCATCAGTCCCAGCACCCCTCCACGCACACACGGGAGGTGGACGGAGCCCCTCCTGCCACACGAGGGCCAACTGAAGGGGGGCTCAAATAGCAGTGGGGACGGAGGGACAGCCCAGGACTCAGGCGATGTGGGGACCCCCCAGCCCGATAAGCTTTCCTGTGCCTTTTCTGACCTGCTAGAATGACGCTGGCTTGGAACAGTCCCACGGGGCCCAGGGGTAAATGACCCCCATTCCTTCCCCTCTGGTCTCCCCGAGACCTGGACAACTGAGTCTCCAAGTCTCCGAACTGCACGTCACAGGCTGGGTGCATGAGGACACTGCACAGCTGCGTGGGGAGCGTGAAGGAACCCAGGGACTGGACGGCCGCACCAGGACACTGATGAGGGTGGGGAGTCGCCCCAGAGGAGAGGGTCTGGCAGGGCCAGCTGGGGACACGGGCTGCTCCTGACTCTGACGGGGGGCGGAGGGCTCAAGGAGGTCACCGGCTGCCCTAATTTATGTCCATGTTCCTGGCGAACAGCTCTACCACGTGTTTAATCAACAGCTGGTCCGTCAAACGCTGAGTTACAAGGAGTAGGAAACACAACCGTCCTTCGTTCTTTTCCCGTCTTTGTTCGGCTTCATCCTTCCTGGGCTGCGTGCTCAGGCAGCGGCAGGGCCCGACCCCCTGTTTCTGGGCGTGACCATCTCCAGAGAACCAGTGACCGAGGCTGTCCGCTCAACACGCCCGATCGAACTGTGCTCGGAACGGCAGTGACGCTGCCTTGCCTTCCTGCTTGTTCGTGTTTACTATGAAACCGACTCAACACCCTGCCTGCCCCATCCCAGTGGGGAATAACGACACGGTCGGTCCTGGGAGCACAGCGGCTTCAGCACAAATGTGGTTTCCCGGGGGTTTAAGGAGAAGGCCGAGCAGCCGCTGTACGCACGATGGGCCGTCTTTTTAAACACACGCCGGCCTGGATTTGGGGCTGATTTCGAAGTTTACAAAACACTCTCACTGACCAGGAGAAGATGGCATTTAGCGTGCAATCCAGCAGTTTACACCTTAAGAATGGTGCCTTCCATGCACATTCTTCATTGTTGTGGAAAGAGATTCCCACCCCCGCCAGGAATCTACAGGATCCGCTGCACTGACCTGTGACCTGCGGGGCTGCCTCCCGGGGGGCGGGGGGCGGGGGGGGGCGGGGAGCACGCCCTGCACTCACCTCTGCACCGAGGCCTCTCCTCGCCGGAGCTCCACGTCCCGTCCGCCTGGCACCGCACCAGCCGGCTGCCCTCCAGGTAGTACCCGGGGCTGCAGCTCAGAACCACCTGGGCCCCGAACTCGTTCAGGGCCCCCGACACCAGCCTCCAGGTGACGTGCTCAGACAGCTGGGCCTCGATGCCAGGGCAGGTCACCGCTGGAAGGGAAGCAGGTCGCGTGTCAGTCATCGTTTACTACTTGAGGGGTCGCGTCAGGTGGCAAAGCCCTTCCACCTGCGGCCAGTCTGGCCAGGTGACTCTAAGGTGGTCCCCACGGCGTTGGGTTCTCTCGGCACCCCGAGGTCCCATGTGCTCAGTGCCATCCGGAGCCTCAGCATGTGTGGGGACCTCATGTGGAGACCCCCGTGTAAGGGACAAGCCAGTGATGCAGGCGCGTGTGCGTGGGAAGGTGGGATTTTTCCCCCGGAAACAAACACATGTATAAAAACGCCCTTCACACTTCGTCTCTCTGAGCAGCTCAGAGTCTAAACGGCCCAGACAGCGATTCTCAGAGAAGCACACGCCCTCCTCCCCGTGAAACACGATAGCTCCTGAGCACGTGGGGTCATGAGTGTCCACGTGGGGTCATGAGTGTGCACGTGGGGTCACACGTGTGTGTGTGAGGGTCACACGTGTGCACACGGCACTGGCACCATGCAGAGAAGCGGGCCCCCTGGTGTCAAAGCTGGTCGTCTGCCGACACCTGGGAGAAAGGCCTGGAGTCAGACTGGGCCTCGGTCAAAGGCTCTGGCACCGGTTACAGCAGCGGGGGCAACACTTGCAGCCCCGCAACCCCGCTGTCCACAGCGTGGACTCCAAGGAACATGCACCTGTGCCGTTTGTGCAAAGTTTCACGTGTGCCAGTCCACACAGATCTTCCGAAAAGCATCAGAACACTGAGCGTGGCTTTGCCGAGTGAAGACCGGAACCCACTGGTATAAACACGGAGCCCCCCCCCCAGCAGAGCTGACAGGGCCCCCCAGGTGCCCGTGAACTGCCTGATGCACCCGCACGTGAGCGAGAGAAACCTGAGCTTCTGTCAGGAAATTAAGAGACGCGTTTCACTTCCAAATTCTAGGCAGGTTAGTTATCACTGAATGAGACCTGTCTGAAAGGTCCCCAAATCCTATTTATTCTTCTCTTAGCAATTCACCAGGAGTGTGTGCAGAATGGAGGAAAACTCAGGTCTTGTGGCATCAGGATGCTGCTGACGAGGGTTGACATGTGAAGAGGGTTTGCAGACTCAAAAGGATCCCACACCTTTCTCTGCGGGTGGTTTTTAGAGAAGAGTCACCCACCCCACACATGGGTGTGTGTCACTGTTTCACCTGATGACATGAGTGAAATGTCCCTCTCACTGAGCACCTTTGAGTTCCGGGGACAACTGTCGGCTCTGGGGCCTTGGGTGCCTTCGGCCTCGTCTCAGCCCTGGGTCACCTGCCAGGAAAATCTCCTTCCTCCTCGCTGGAGCGGTGGTTCCAGCATCCGCATGGTGATGTCCGCTGCCTGGCCGGTCCCCGACTGTCCCTGCAGGCACGGCCGCGGGCGGCTCCCCCAGTGGAGTCCCAGGTTCCCTGGCGCTCCCGGCTGCCGCCCGCACGCCGACCCCCTGACCCTCTCAGTTCCACGGTTCCTCTTGAGGACGCACTTGGTCCGCTGTGCGTGACCTGCTTCTGCTTCGGTCTTGGCCTCTGTCCCCCCCTCCCTGCAGGGTCCTCCCCTCTTTTGCTGCACACACTGCTGTCTTTTCACAGGTTTTTCTGTGTGTGCAAATAATGTCTTACTACGAGCAGGGGCTGATGCCACGTTAAGGAAAGTGAATGTGCGTGTATGACGGACTGTGTCAGCACACACACGTGTGTGCACTGGAAAACAACGGGCCAAGAAAGGGGTGTGTGTGGCGGCAGAACACACGAGCCGAGGCACCGTAGCACACGGGTGCAGCCGAGAGTGAGGAGCGCGGTGAGAACAGACACTTAATGTGAGTCCGTCCTGTTCTCGTGTCCTGAAGGAAGAGGGGGGGAGCTGGAGGGTCCCAGAAACACTGACCACGTGGTTTTACTTAGTGTTTTCAAAGAGGCCGGAGAGAAGAGCACAAAGACATCCGAGTCTGAACAACGCGTGGCGTTCGTCGGGCGGTGAGACCCCCAGTAATGTAACCAGGGCCCCGTGGGAGGAGACGGCTTCCCGTCAGCAGTGGGAAGGCCCCTCCTGGCACATTCCGTCTACACGATGCCAGCGGCTGTGAGCACACACACACACTCAGCACAAGGAAAACAGAAAATGGACGCGCAGACGGTCCCCGTGGGAGACCACGTGACGCTGGCAGAACCTCGTCAGAGGAAGACGGGGGAGGGGGGCTGCGGGCCTGGGGAGGGGGAAGCCGGGCGAGGAGCAGGCTCCGTGCTGGGGCCCCTCCGTGCCAGCCGATGGCCAAGGGCCTCTCCCTGAGACACACGATGACAACGCTGAACTGCGGTCACAACTCAACAGGGAGCAGCCTGAGAGCCGCTGTGCTGGTGCCCCCCTGATGAAAATCCCTCCGACTGTGCCCCAGGTTTTCCATGTGCCCCCCAACCCTGCACCCATTTGCACTCGTGGGCACGACCTCTCAGACGCTGTTGATTTAGAGTTTTCCTGGAAAAGGGTCCCTGTCACACCGTGGATATAAACACACATGTGACGTCACAGGGCAGGTTAATTATCACTGAATCAGACCTGAGCTGATTCACAGCGACACTGAGACAGGGACATGGGCGTCACTACCGTCATTTGCTTTTCTTACGGATGAGCAAGTCAGCTCAGCTCTCCCCAAACCGGCTGGAGTCCCGAGTGTCCCCACCTTGGGTTTCTCTGGCCCTGACTTTCTCTGCAACTAGAAACAAAGTGACAAACCCACATTCCCTCTACAAATGATGAAAACAGGTGACGCGGGACATGTTCTCCAGAGTTAAGTCCACAAGGATTTCCCGACACACCAGCAGTGGACACAGCATCAAGAACGACATCATTCTTCAGGAATGTTTTAAAATGCTGTTCCATCTGGGAGATGCAGCAAAAGAAAAAAACTTTTTTATGTAAACGGTCTCAATTATGTTTATGACAGTTATAAATGAACGAATCACCACATCAAGGGAAATCCAATGTTTTAAAAAACATCAAAATGTTTTAAAAAGGACGCCTCCCGGCCTGCACCGTGCCCATCACGGACCCCTGACCTAGATCTTCGACAGTGTGCGCTCAGCCCTGAGACGCAGGGGGGCTCCTGTCTTTCCCGCAGACCCCCCGTCACATCGGCAGGCAGAGTGCCGCCCGTGACCCGGTTCAGTCCGAGCCACCTAATCAGATTTGTGGCTCCCCGATTCGCTGCCGCCGGCCCGAGAGGACTCAGCGGGCCTCAGCCCAGGGCCCCTCCTCACATTCTGCAGCCCAGCCTTCAGCCCCCTGAATGGGGGCGGGGGTGCTGCGGGCAGTCCTGGTGCGTTAGAAGCGGGAAAATGAGGCTGTTCGGCTTTGGCAAAGAAGGGGCATAAGTGAGGTCCCGGGGAAGCAGCCACTGAGGCGATTTGAACCCATTCCACGCCATTGGACTGAAACATGGGTCTAAGAGTGAACCCACAGAGAGACTGGATGACGCCGTGGGCTTCCACGGACAGAAATTGCTTGGAATTTCTGGTTGATCCCCGGAGCCTAATCCAATGCATAGTGCATGAGCTGCTGGGATTCAGTGTGGGTGGAATTGATAAAGGGGTGAGTTAACAGGGCTGAGGAGCACACTTCCACGGTGTAATTCATGAAAGTACCCGAGAACCAACTGGCTTTTCAGAGGCTCCAGACAAAGACAGTCCGAGGCCTTAGTGCCCCCCACTCTCTCTTCCCCGAGACCCCTGGTCCAATCCAGACTCCAGACACGCACGGTCTGGGGGCCTGGAGTCCAGGGTTCCTCCCCATTCTGGCCGTTGCTGCCCTTCCCACTTGTGAAGTTTCCGAAACCCTCGTGAGATCAGATGTTTTTTTCTGCCCAGGCCTCTTGTGATTTCCTGTGGTCATTCTCAGCAGAGGTCACAAGTCAGACCCTGGACACTCCCACTACCTCTCTCTTGGAGTGAGACCCTGGGCGGCGGCCACGTCAGGGCCCAGGTGCTCTGGCCTGACTCACACCTTGAAGGTGAACTTTGCCGGTGCGATCTGATGTCCAGGAGAAAACGAGACCCACGTTCAAACCCCGTTCACTCTGCACACAGCAAACACTGCTCGGAACGTGTCATGGCTCTGTGATTCGAGTTTGACAGAAAAGCTCTTCCTTAATGATGGAAAACGACCAGTTGAATAATTAGACCAGAGGAGTTTACACCGACGTCCGGCCTGGATGGAAACAGCGCTGTTCACCCGAGAGTGGTTCAAGCTCCGCGTCTCGTCCATTCGCGTGTGGGCCGCACCGTGGAGGCGCCGTGGCATTTCCATCGTCCACGGCTCTCCCCCAGAAAGGGGCTTTTCCAGCCGCTTCTGACCGCTCGGTGGCGCTCCTGCCCTGGCCGTCTGTCCGTCTCCCTGTCCTTAGGTGCTGCGCCAGGTCCCGAAGGAACACACTTCCTGGGTCAGCGTTCCAGTGTGCACGGCACCCGACACCGAAGCAGACGTCCACAGATTCCTCTAACGAAGGCCGTCCTCTCCAGGGTTTTTGTTTAAAGGAAATCATTTGCTTGAGCAGATTTTTTGCCTTTGCTTAAATATTCTTTCCTGATGCCCCCAGAAATGGAACATCCCCCCTGCAATGCTTCAGTATGAATCTAACAGTAACATGCTTCACAGGAGTCTGCGGGTCATGAAGTGCGTGACCCAGAATCTCAAACTGTCTGTGTGTGTGGCACAGTTAGTGACATGGGGACAGATGGCACCCACCAGGACGTGGCCTCTCACCCAGGGGCCACGTCAGGGGCGGACCTGACGATGCCATTCGGTAAGACAAGCCGAGGGAGTAGGGCTGCTCCTGCCCTGCCCTGGGCCGGCCAGCAGAGGGCAGGAGAGGGCGGAAGGAGAGTGGGGGCGGGGGCTTCCTGAAAGGTGGTGGCTGCTTTGGAAGCAGCGTGAGAAGCACACTCCAGTCTGTGAGTGTGGGGTCAGCGTCACACCCTCTATTTTTTTTTTTTACCATTTTGATGATGTTGATACAGAATAACAAAACTCTATTTAGTGCATTTGTTTTTCTAAGTCTCCAAACATAAAGGGATCATGTACAATAGCAGAACATGCTTGAGAAATTCCCGGACTAAAATCCCAAACCTGAACACTTTCTCTGGCAGCACTCAGAACGTGTCTACATGCCTCTAATCCAGTGCATAGTATCGCACGTCGCATGAGCCCGTTCCCCCTCAGAACCCGCGCCTGTGAGTGAGTGAGAGCTGCGTGCGAAGGCTCTGCTGGGGCGACGCATCCACGGTGGCATTGCAGGGGGAGGGCACGGCACCCCAGCTCCCTGCCGAGACACTTCAGCCGGCAGCGCACGCGGAGGTGAGCCTCCCTGCCGCTGTCCCGCCTCTGCAGGGCTGCAGGTTCGGAGCTGCCCCCCGGAAGGTGAGGGTGTCTGCGCACTCACACTGAAGAGAACCTACAAGCTCGGCCGCTCGAGGCAGCGGGTGAGGATCATCACTGGCTCGGAGTGCGCAGGCGTGCAGAGCTGCCTTCCGTGCCCCCGGGGCCCGGTTCCTCAAACCCGTGTGCGCCCGGCGGGGCCCAGCTCCGGAGCCCAGGGCGGTTCCGTGCTCAGACTGTGCGCCCTGGGCCTGTGTCTCTGTGGCGTGTGCACACAGGCCCCCACCCCCCCTAGTAAGGAGCACAGGTCCTCAAGGACACGGCCAACACAGGTGTGAACCTGTCAAGGTCACACGTCACCCTGACTGCACTGTGGCAACCTCCTCTTTGTGTGGGAAGGCGGCTTCCTCAGCTGTTTCCACAGAGGTGAAGTGTTGGTCCCCTCGTCCTACTGGTATTTGTAAAGACCCAGCCGCCAACCAAGGGGACAGACACACCGGCCCTGGTAGAGTTTATGCTTCTTAGAGACTGAGCAGTCATCACTCGTCCATCCCCAAACTGGGGGTCGTGCAGGCTGCTGGGAGACCCTCCTGTGCTGACCCTCCTGAGGCCTTCAGTGCAAACTCCGCTCTGACGAGTATCAGGGGACCGAGCGCCACCTTCCACAGCGGTGACTCAAACACGAACGGCCGGGCGGAGGCGCGCTCGGTCCTTGGAGTGGAGCCACAGAGCAGACGGCACCACCACGACCGGCAGAACGCAGCCGACTGCCAGCTGCAGGCTGACAGGGACCTGGGGCGGCGGAGCCCGAGGCCTCTGTATGTCAGTGCAGAAAGAACCCCGGGCCCCGTGACGCTTTGGGTGAGGACACGGTGTGGGCACAGCCTTCAGCCGCTGTCCCCCGCAGACCACACAGGGTGATAGAGTCACCGCCGGGCGGAGGCCAGGTGAGGCCTTGCTGGAGGCCAAGCTCTCCTCCCCTGCACAGGGCACCACCTGCAGGTGGTGGGCGTTTAGTGACCGTTCACTTCACAGCTTCCTGGCAGCCCCTTCACACGTCAGGCCTGTGAGCCTCTCGCTGGGCAGCGGCCTCCACCCACCCCTCTGTCCCCTCAGCTGCGCCGGGCACAGTTGAATCTTGGTGGCTGGGGGAAGGGCTGGACTGTACTGGGACCCCTCCCAGGGGACCCTGCATCTTGCCCACACTGCACAGACCTTCGGTCTCCGCGGCCTCTGCAGAGCGTCCAGCGACCCACCTGGGAAGCCAGGGACGGGGCCCCAGGCTGTGAGTTTCGTGTGCACTTTGACGATGTGCTTCCAGTTTGCATGCGGTGACCGTGCATGCGGCTGGGGGCGGGGCCGGGGCCTGCCTTCCTTAGCCTGGCTCGGCCGACGGCTCAGCTGAAATCACTGACAGTGTGCAGGACACTTTCACAGTGCAGGACACTCCACGGCGGCCCCAGGGGCATCGCGTGGCAGCCAAGTGTCGGAGGGCTGGCCTGCGCCCCGGCACACGTGGGAACGTCACCCACTGCCTGTGTTGCCCTGATGCCAGAGCACTGGTGTCAGATTCAACTGTCGCCAGACAGCCGTGCGTCTGGTAGTGGGGCAGCCGAGGGTTCATACAATGAAACGCTTCCCCACGCTGTGTTACGGTGACCGATCGCACTGCCCCAGCAGCTCCCCGGTGTGCGAGGTGTGCGTCGTAACCAGTGGCAGGGTTTGGTGTGGTGTCGGAGGGTTGGGACGCCACGACCCAGTGACCCCACGCTGACACGCAGGGTGGCGAGCTCCGTGCCCCGGGATCCGCAGGGCTCCCCAGGGGGACGTGCTCCTGAGCACAGGGAGGCGGGGGTGGGGGGACTGGCACTCACGTTTGCAGGGGGGCGGCCGCCCCCGGTTGCTCCACGACCCGTCCTCCTGGCACACGGCCGTGGCCGGGTGGCCCGCGTCCAGCAGGAAGCCCTCGTCGCACTCGTAGGTCACTTGGCTGTGCAGGGCGAACTCGTTCCCCGAGAAGGAGCCATTTCCGGGGGGCTCCGGGATCCCGCAGGACACAGCTGGGGTGGAACAAGGCAGGGTCACTTTGGCAGTGGGAAGCGTGCCTTCCCCTCCCGTCCACTCCACACGTTTCATACACCTGTAACACGTCACACAAGTGCACACGTGTCCTATGGGCTAAGGAACTTGAAACTTTGCAGAAGAGGTCGGGACAAAATGCCCTCTGGTTAGTATTCCAGAGGCCACCTCTGGCAGCCGGGACGCAGTTCGAGTGCCCTGACTTGTGTCACAGAGGGTGAGAAAAGGCACAGCCCCCCTCCTCTGCTGAAGGTCGGAGAAAGGACACAACGATACCTTCACAACCACAAGTCACTGACAGTGTTGAGTCCCGGGGCTGTAAGCGGTCACCCCCGAGAGCCCGTGCCTGGGCCGGGCGCACTTGCCCGAGATACTCGGCAACGGCAAAGTGAGGGGCCTCCGTTTACTGAGCCCACATTTCAGCCGGGCACACCGTGAACTTCAAGTTTAGATGGCTCGTTTCCCCACACCGCCTCCCGTGGGGGTCCACAGCCACCCTGGGGGCTGCAGAGCCTGGTGGAGAGAGTTTGCGTAAGCATGTACTCTGACGGAGAGAAAACTGGGGCTCAGAAGGAGAAAGTGGGGTGCCTTGGCACCCACAGGCTGGCTCACGTGTTCATTCATCCCGCGTAATTGCAGCAGGCAGATGGGCAGCGGGCAGTGTCGGAACGGACAGCGCAGGGCGAGAGGATTCAGCTGAGCAGTTTTTGCAGCTGCTCTAAACCTCTCGAATATGTTTAGCACATTGTAGCCGGAGGAAGAGGAAAACAGCATCTGTTAATTCGAAACAAACAAAGAAGCCAGGCAAGGGCAGGTGACCCAGCGGGTCAGCACACAAATGGTTAATTGCAGCGGAAGGTCTGCCTTGTCGGGGCCTGGGAATGTCCTGGAGGGCAGATCCTGTCCCAGCATCAGTCAACTCAAATGCCACCAGAAGACCAGGGGCAGCTGGGGGAAAGGCCAGCTTCCACGAGGTTTAATTGGATTTGGCATGCTCCGGCTTTACGTGTGGATTCAGGACGTTGTAACTTGGAGCATAGCTGATATAATGCCCATTACGTATACGTACAGATGTACACACACACACACTCATGTATACATGTTTTCTTACAGATCATAACATGATTTGATATTTTTGAAACATATTTGAATTTCGAGAAGCACTGCACTACTATCAGGGCCCAGGGAAGCTCGATCATTTCACAGAAACAGGGAAGTGTTTTCGGGAAAAATCAACACACAGTTGCCATCACTCTTATCCTCACCACTAAAAGTTGTTATGATTTATGAAATGATTCGATTAATTCATTTATGCCAGGGCACCAAGCCTACCCTCCTAAATTTTGATTATCCTGCTGTTTTAAAAATTAAAACGCCACCACCACCACCAAAATGGTTTCCTTCTGGTAGATGCCCTGTAGCTGCAGGGATTAGAGACTCCCAGGCCCAGCCCAGCCCCTGGGGGGTCCCCAGCCGCCCCTCCGATCCAGCCCCCTCTCGCTCCGGCCGTCCAATCGTCTGCGTCAGCCCTGCAGCTTGTCCTCGCAGGGCACAGGCAGCCGGCCAGGTCTCTGTCTTCATGTTGAACTTTACGAGCAGATGCTTATCATGTGCTTATGAGAAACCATTTCTCTGCTTCTTCAAAGCCAGCAAATCGCAAGCGAAGCATAACCAACAAAGTCGACTTCCAGCTGAAGCCGCAGCTGCCCCCCAACCTCTGGCTGGGAGGGTCACGGCTTCAGAGCAGACCGCTGTCCGGCGTCAGCTGCCCTTCACGGGGGGCCCGACAGCGGCACTCGGCCGGCTCACTGGGCCTCTGCCAGGCACAGAAAACCTCGGGTCTCCGAGACGAGCAAGTCCGGCGTCCCGATAGCTCGAAGGCTGCCTGGCGCAGGCCCCTGCTCTGCGGCAGGAAATGAAGCTGTGAGGACAGGAGGTGGGCCCGGCTTCATCGAGGGGCATAAAAGCCAAAACGGGCTTTCGGAGAGAAGCAATTTAAAAAGGTCAGAGTGGGGGAAACAGCCTGAAGTTCTCTGAGGCCGATAAACTACATCTCGCCCGCTACGCATCTTTCCACTCACAGGCGACCATCGTGCAGCCTCCTAGCTAATTTGTGACTCCCGTCCAGAACTTTCCGGGTGCTGCCTACGAACCTTCCCGTGCTCTCCGCAGAAGCACTGTTCTGGGAGGGCGTGGCCTGGCGGCGGGATGTGGCCTCCGCCAGATCCTGGTGACTTTCCGTCTGGAGAGTCACCAGATGGTGACTGTGGGGGTTAGAGTTTCCCACGTCCGCACCGCTCGCCTCTGGGTGATGCGTGGGGCAGAGACGTGCTGCTCACCTCCACCTTCTCTCTGATTCTTCAGCCCAAACTACGAGGACCTCAGAAGGACCTTTTCTTTGTTTTGTGCACGATTTCTGTTGAGGGGTCATTTTGTTCAGCGTTCAGTAACTTCCGGGGAGGAGTTGGGAGAAGGACGGGAAGCGCAAAGATCAGAGCAAACGCTCCAGGCGTCCTGTGATTTTTTTCTCCAGTCTTCCTTGAAAGGCCACCTGTCCCTTCGGGTAACGACTTCCTGAACACCTGACGTACCTGGAAGATGGACTCCCGCCTGCCCCGACTGCCCCTGGCCTCAGCCCCTCGGCACGAGGGTCTCTCCCCGTATCCTCCTGGGCTTTGAGAGCACACTCCCCGCAGGCTCTGTCGTGGGGGCCAGCCCGGGCCCGGGTGTCGGGGGCGCCCGCCAGGCCTGCTCCCACCTGCTTTCCTAGGGCCACTGTTCAGGCCACTGCTTTTGTCTCTGGCATTCTGTCCCCAGGGACAAGGACCCTTTGGCGACCCCACAGGCTGCACTCGGAACAGGCGGCTTTAAGTTACAAGCAGAGAGTAACAGAGCATTTGAAGAAAACAAGAAGCAATTTTTCTTTTGAAACAAAAAAATACATTTGTTTTGACTCCTTCTTTAAAAGAAAAAAACCCCATCATTCCTAATGCAATGAGCGTATTGGACCTGCACGTCTATCTTCCATTAAAGAAGAACTTCCAGAGGAAGCACATGAACACCGAAGGCCCGGCGTCTGACCCCTCCCCGCCGGTAAAGGCGCTCGCGCAGTGGGTGGGACAGATGCCGACTGCCACTCCACGGAGCAGCACCAGCACATGCGCTGTCTAACCAGAGAGGGGGAGAGGGGAAGCCGGTGTGAGGGTCTATTTATAAATCATCACCAGCTTTCAAGAGCCAGTATCTTCCATGATGAACAGAAATCTCAGACAAAACCATGAGAATGTCACGGCTTCAAAGAGCTCCGAGGAAAAATGAAAACGCCATCTTTGAAAATCTGATTTTTATGCATATGAAAGAAAAAATGTAAAAAAGACATAAAACAATGAAATCAACTTGAACAAGCCCTAGATTGAAAAGACTGAAAGAAAACAAAATATGTAGGATAAGGCTCAAATGATGCGTTGTTACACTAAAATAAGGAAAGTCGGTGTTAGTGATTGATTTTTTAAATAATTCAACTGTCAAGTAAAGTTGTTTAGAATCTGAATTAGAGAACACCTTTTTTTTTTTTACTTCAAAATGCAACACCAGCACGTATGAGAAGGACTCTATCGGCCCCTCGTGGACATTCAGCGTCTCCTGAGTGCCGGCCGAGGAGCCAGGTCGAGGCCGGCGTCCATGTCAGAGTCCTGTGCACGGTCGGTGGGGGGGTTCCTAAACGCACGTTCGAGTTTTCCTCACCTTGGACCCACAGTCACGGCTCCGGGAGCTGCGGAGTGAGTTAGAGCAGGAGGAATGGACCCAGGAGGGCGGGCCACACCACTCACCCTGGCACAGGGGCGCCGGCGCGTCCCACTGGTACACGCCCGCGGGGCTCCGCCGGCAGGTGGCGTTGCCGCTGCCCACCAGCCGGTACCCGGGCTTGCAGAAGTACTGCACTTGGCTCCCGAGTGTGCCCTCGGTCCTGTTCACGACGCCGCCGTTGCGCAGGGTATGGGCCAGGCTGCAGTACGGTGCTGTGGGCAGGGAAACACAGACACGTCAAAATGAACGGAACCGGAGCAACACAGACCGATCCGCGGTGCCCGGGCGTCTCCCTCCCTGGTGAGAGGGAGCTGAGTGAACGCCTCTGTTGTGTGAGCAGTGAGCAGTCGGCGACAGGTGTGAGCCTGTCACCTCTCCCCTGGCACCCCGGGCTGGGAGGACACGGGGCGGCGGGGGGCTCGCTCCCCGCTGGCGGGGGCGCAGACGGGCGGCCACCCCGAGGGCAGCCGGAGGTTTCCTTGGAAACCAGACCCGCTCCTTCCGTAAGATCCACGACCTGTGCTGCTTGGCGTTTCCCAAAAGGACCTGAAAGCTACGTCCACACAGAGACCCGCACACGCGTGTGCACAGCAGCTTCCCCCAGAACGGCCACAGCTCGGAACCAACCAGGACGCCCTTCAGTGGGTGACGGACAAACAAACCACGGTCCCTCCAGACAGTGGGACAGAATCAGCACTGAGAACAGATGTGCTCTCAAGCCAGGAAGACACGTGGGGGAACCTGACATGCATGTGACCGAGTGAAGGAGCCAGTGTTCCTGAAAAGGCCACATGCTGTGTGAGCCCAACCCTGTGACATCCCAGAGAAGGCGAGGCTGTGGGGACGGTGACAGGTCAGGGGTGCCATGGGGTTGGGGGGAAGGATGCACAGGGGAGCCCAGAGGTTCGGGGCAGCGAGTCTGCTCTGTGCGATGCTGTAACGACGGACACGCGTCATCGTGCATTTGTGGGAAATTTCTGCATCTTTCCCTTTTGCTGTGAATCTTACACGTCTCTGGAAAAACAGGTTTCATAGAGAACAAAGAACATACAAAAAACCCGCCCGGAGCCAAGAGTCCAGTCTCTGACCTTCCAGTTGGGATTACCTGCAACTGTTAGTCAATGTGAAGGTAGGAGCCTGACTTTCTGGTGAAAATATTGTTTTTTAAAAAAATATTTTATTTATTTATTTTCAGAGAGGGGAAGGGAGGGAGAAAAAAAGGGAGAGAAACGTCGGTGTGTGGTTGCCTCTCCCCGGCCTGCAACCCAGGCACGTGCCCTGACTGGGAATCGAACTGGCGACCTTTTGGCTTGCAGGCCGGTGCTCAATCCCCTGAGCCACACCAGCTGGGGCTCTGATGAAAATACTGTACAGAAATACACGGGTCATGTGGGGGTCCTCACTGGTCTCTGCGAGGCCGGCTCCCCACTTACGGGAGCTCCGGAGTCACGGGGCTGAGAAGCGGGAGCCTCTGCCCTGGGCCCCACGTTTGAAACAAAACCATTCTCAACACGAAGGAAGCGCATCATTAAAACGGACACAAGGGAGGAAGGTGCATTTCAGTCAGTGCCACAGCTTCTTCCTCGCCGTCGCCGCCGAGGGCGTCCGTGACTTGCACAGTGAGGAAGGTGTTAAGGTTCCTTTTCAGATTTGGGGTTTGGGCAAATCTCTGAAGAAAATGCAGGTCACTGAAAATCTTGCAGTAGCTTTAGTTATCCATGTCGGGGTGGATTTTTAAAAAATTAAGAGACAGGAATATGTGGAAATGACAGTCATACACAGAACGTAACATTTCAGTGGCCGAAGGCCCCGCACCTTAGTTACACACTGAGAGAAAGAAAGTCGTTTCACTGAAATGTGTAAAGAATGGCGGCTCTGACAGGCGGGGAACCAGCAGCCGGTGTGTGTCTTGTTAAACTTTCCCGGGGGGGGGGGAGCGAATCCCACGCTCACTGTCCTCCCCCCGAGAGCCTTCCAAAGCCTCAAAGCTGCCAAGCGTTTCACCAGCCAGAGAAGAGAGAGCTGAGAGCTGCCGCTGACATTTTCCTGTTTTCCCTCAGATCCTGGCTCATCACGGACGATGAAAACCACCGCCCAGGGCCTGTGCCGACCCCGGTGGGAGGAGCCGCCGAGTCCAGGGCGCACGCGGGACCCGCCTTAGGGAGCCTGTCTTGGCTTTACCCACTGCTGTTGCCGAGTCCCGGGAAACTGAGCAGCGTTGAGGTTTTCTGCTTCGTCATGAAAACGTGTCGGAAGTTTAAATTGTCTGTCTGCAGCTCTTGTAGGGCAGGGGGACCATCTGGGGGCTCCGGTGACACTGACGAGTGTGCACAGGGCCCGACGTGCCATGTGTCGTTTATGTGCTGTCTGCACTTCATTCACATAAAGGTGAAGAAGCAGACGGATGATCCGTGAAAACCCACATGTTGATAGTTATTGTTATCACTTATAAAATTAATAGCATGACGATTACATCTTCCTGCTTGTTCCCTTGGCATTTCGACATATTTTAAATTTGATTTATGTAATTATGTCTTGGGGGGGATGTCTTTGCTTCCCATGGTATGTAATTCAGTGGTGTTTGATGTGAGCAATATGTTTTTAAGTGATTAACCAATGGTTGCTCTTCCCTAAACTCACTTAGAAATATCACTCAGAGAGTTTCCCATCTCGTTATTGCTATTGCAGCTTATCGTTCACCTTCGAAACCTAGGCTTACATTCGTCACGTCTATCGCGTTGTTTAATGGATGCGGCTTCTGTCCAGACGCTCGGCCCGCTCACCTGCGTAGCGGACCCTGAAGCCCTTCTTGCTGGTGGCGTGGTCGGTGGACCAGCGGAGGAACAGTCGGCTGCCCCGGCTCGTGAAGTTCAGCGGCTCCGTGTGGTTCCCGCTCAAGACCACCAGCAGGGGGCTCTGCCCGGAAGGCCCTGCGGGAAACAGGAGGGTGGGGGGCAAAGCTCAGAGGTGCGCACAGCAGGCAGACGGAGTCTAGCTTTCCCTCGCGTTGGAGTGTCAACGCACAACATGCCGCTATTTATTTCCAAGGTGAAGAAAATAATAACTAGTGAATGTCACAGCAACTGACAGAAGTAACCAGCCGGAACAAGGTCAGGTGCACATGCCGTTACCAGCATAACACTTACATCAAACGAACCTTATCTATTAAACAGAGGTAATTGAAAAAATAAAAGTCACTTTTATCACCAGGAGTACCTAGATCCTTGTAAGGATTAGGAGAAATGGAAGCTTCCGTGAATACCAGTGGCCCCACGGGTCACAGTCGCTGTGGAGGGTACTTTGGTGACACCCAGGAAAACCGAAGGGTTAATTCTGTTTCTACAAACTACACCACATATGTACAGTCATTATTCATACGGCAAAATGTGCATTCCAGCCTCACTTCTCATGGTGAAATTTAGATCTCGACTGGAGCTTTAAATAAAAAATGGCAAGTGCCATGAAAAAGGAGTTCTAGACGGCATTTAAATCAACCGCTGAGAGGAGAACATGTCTCAGGGGCCCAGGTCAACTGAAGAAGTCGCTTGCCGATCAGTATAAAGTGACAGCCACTGGGTGGGTGTCTGAGAGTCTACAACACTTGGCAGGTACGAGTGTGTGTTTGCACACGGATGGCAGAGGAGGGCGCGGGGCAGGTGACCGGGAGGGCGGCAGGGAGAAGGAATGACAAGGACGGGCACGAGCACGTGACACGGTGCTAACACCCCTGCGAGGGGTGAGGCGGGGGGGGGGGTCCCCCGAATCTATCTGTGTTCCGGCTTCCTTTAAAAAAACAGACTAAGGTACGTTTAATGAAATCCTAACATTTATTACACTCAGTAATGAGTTCGTACCTACATATACATTTTTTTATTTAAGAAAAGTATTTTAAAAAAGCAAATGGAGCCCGTCGTTCACTCTGTTCTGTTCTTCGCCATTGTAACTCAATGTCATTTCCTGAGAGAAGCTAGATGTTGAACTGCTGCCACCCTGCCAGGATCTCATCTGCTGTTAGTGAACTTGGCCTGGGGTTCTCATCTGCTGTCAGTGAGCTTGACCTGGCTCTGGTCTGAAGCCTTCCTTCACTGCACGGCTCCTGCCCAGGAAACGTGTCATGAGAAGGAGGCTGTGGCCTCAGCAGGTCAAGGGACACATCTGCGGGACCTGCAGGACCGGACATGGACCTTTCACTGGGGCCACGAGGCCGAGAAACCGCAGCCTCATTCTCGGTGTGACGCCCAATCGGAACGGAGCTAGTGATTTGAGGCCACACAAAGCTGTCACGGGCTAGACGGTGTCTCATCCCCCCGCCACCCACACTCATGTAACCTCCGACCTTCCGACCTCAGAATGACTGCTGGGAAACAGGGAAAAGACCGTTGAGGTTACTCGAGGCCATCAGGGTGGGACCCGACTCAACAGCAGGGCCCTCATGAGCAGGGGCGCAGGGGACACAGACACACGCAGAGGGACACCCGTGTGAGGCCACGGAGGACACGGCGTCCACACGCCCAGGAGAGGGGCCCCAGGGGAGCCAGTCCTGCCCCCCCCCCCGGTCTCCACCTCCCGTTTCGGAACAGTGGGAAGTAAATGCCGTGGTGCAGGGGGCCCAGCTGCTGGCTCTGGGCTACTGCGTCCCTCGGAATCAGACCCCGACGAGCCAGTTGGAGACGAGGGTGCGTTTCGCCGTAGCCAAGGCGGCAGGCGGAACGCTCCTGAAAGTGGGAGGTTGTCCCCGGGCCAGCGTCCCGGGGACAGGGCCGGGCGTGCTTGGTAATGGGGGGGACGGTGATGTGTTTCCTGGGCTGGGTTTCTTGGTGCTGGCCACGGAGGCGATGCGCATTCTAACAATAAATGCTGCTGGGGAAAAATCAACCTGAATTTACGAAAGTCGAAAATGTCACGCTAAAGGACAGAGCTCAAGAGTGAAGTTCCAGGGACCGGGGACGTAACATCGCGCCTCACCGCTTCCACCTGCGCCCTTCGCTGTCTCGGAACTAACCCCCCACCGGGCAGACGCACGGCCAGCCAAGCCCAGGGGACAAGTGCGACACACACGTCTGTCCCCCGGGCGGAGACGACTGGGCCTTTACCAGTGACGCCACGGTCTGTATTTCGACGTCCTTCTCCATTGAGATCCATAATGATGTAACTTTATTTTTTTAATTGAGAACCACCTACTATGGGGACTGTGGGGAGTAAGACACTCCTGGGCCAGTAAAGTTTGCAATCAACATGTTCGACATTTTCTCCTCCACTCACGAGCTATGACAGAGCCCCTGTCTCACAAACACAGAGAAAGACACACCGTGAATGAGACATTTGCTGAAGGAAAACTGCCAGCGCCTGGAAAACACCTCCATGAAATGCCGACCTTTCATTTTATAGAAAAATCTTTGAGACAAAACACACCCTCATCGATCTGTGATAATTTCCAGCGACTGCTTGGAAATGGTCTCTATTATCTACTTCGCTGGTGGTTTACAGGGGGTGTGATGTGTCCTTATTTGGGGGAGATCAAATCATAGGCATTTAAAGCACAAATTATCGATAATCGCTTTCCTCCTGATAGTAACCAATAGAGAGGATGGTCAGCCTAATTCTAATTCAACTAAGGTGGGCCAGAGGGATGACCACAGATCTAAAATGATTATTAAGTCTGTCCCATGATAGACAGCATGATAGGAATATGCATGTACAGACACACGCATGCACAGACACACATGTGCACACCCCTGCAGTGGGCTGCTCGCCTGTTTTATTTCTCAGACACCCAACTGGCCTCAGAATCGCTCTCCTGGCCCCTCTTTGAAAAAAGAGCCCAGTCTGCACTCGGCTAGCTCACTACTGCCCTTCCTCCTGAGGACTGAGGGGAACAGCGTCAACAGTCTGTGTGTTAAGGGACCGCCATCCCCTTACCTGTGGGGAGCACAGACCCCCTGGACACTGTGGGTGGGACTGGACCCTGGGGGCACCATGTTCTCCCAACACACACGCTTTCCACTGGAAGGAAGCGCTTTGCGGTTTTCCGGGCACATCTGAGCCGCTGGCATGACCGCTCTTGCGCGTCAGGGCCATCGTTAAAGAAAACAAGGGTGGCAGGAATGAGGCACCGGCATCGTCGGGCTGGCCACCCAGACGGCTGCTGAGTGAGAAATGGGCTGAGGAGCGTCTGTTGTATGAGCCCCATGGAGACATCGGACTAAGGGCCGTCTCGGGTCCTGGGCAGAGTGAGCGGGGCCGTGGGGAGTCCGTCACCCTGCTGTGGAGAAAGTGCAGCTCGCAACCCATGAGTTGTCTGTTTGCACAGTTTTCCACTTACTGTTCCTGGGCCGCAGTCGCCTGCGAGAAGGTGGAGAAGGGAAGGCTGCTGGACCCAAAACCCCCTGAAAACGAAAACACTCTTCTCTGGTCCTGCAAGTGTACACCGGATTCCCAATTTTCATCTTGGGAAACACACAGATCGATTCCTGCAGTGCCTGCCTGCGTGAGCGATGTGGTATCTCATGCACCAGTCAGTAAGAGGCGTGCTAACACACTCAGGACCAATTACAGTAATTATTTATTTTCACTGACTTGATTGTAATTTATCTAACGCAACAACAAGTCTGTCAAAACACGGGAAAACCCTATCATCACGCAGCCGTAATTGTATGTTGGTCTCCTTTTCTGGAGGACGATGAAGCAAAATATAAATATCAGTTTCATTTCAAATTGACAATTCAACCACACTCTACTTTCCAGGCATTGGGCTATCATGTGAAAACGCTGATCAGAATCGTATAAACGTACCTGAAGCTAATTTTTAAACAATTACTCCTTAAAGGCTCCACAGCATTCGTTGGGGGAAAACCGCTGGGAGCTGTCATAGTTGTATGTGCCCTGTGACATATTAGACTCAACGCAGCATCGTTATTCCCTAAATCTCGAATTCCCTAACACACCCTCTAAATTGATACGACTCTACAGAGACAAGTCCGGTTCTGGACCCGCATTCAGGAGCCGCGATGGCCCAAGCAGGTCCACACATCCCCCCAAGTGTCACCCGTGTTCTGATTGGTTGAAGTTGCAACACTGACGACGTGTGAATGGCCGACAAAGCGCCGGATTTCTGAGGCTGCACAGTGGGAGAGGAACTCCTTTCCTGTCTGGGGGATGATGCCATTTGACTCAAAACTGGATCCGTGTTCTCGTGTGACAAATGCACTACAAGGGTGTTCTACCCCGTCCGCTGGGTCACGTGGGCGGGGGAGGCAGACTCACCGTCGAACACCTCCAGGGTGTCGAACTGCTTTTCACTCTGGAAGCTGTCCACGAAGATGGTGATGTTGTAGCTCGGCTCCACTTTGATGGTCCAGGAGCAGGTCTGGGAGTTGAAGTAGTTGCCCGGGTAACCCGGGCTGAGGATGACCCCCGACGATTCTGTGCGGACTTCGTTGGCGGGGCATTGTGCTAAGGGGAAAAGTGAAAGTCGTGCTCAGCCAGGCGAAGCCAGCTTCCGGGGGCTGGCATGGATCCCGTGTGCCCCTGGGAGGGGTGGGAGCTCCAGCTGTGCTCAGTGCAGGCTGCAGACGCAGCTGGAGGCTCACTAATGGCAACACTATAACACTGCCCTGTAACCTACAAGAGACTGTGCACGTGGAGCGTGTGGGAGGAGCATCACACGTGTACCAGGTCTGTCTGGGGAAAGTCAGCCACTGCCAATATAAAGAGAATAGTGTGCATGACGTCCACGTGACCTGGCAGCCAAGGACAGTGGACTGGAATGTGCGTGTGTGAACAATGACGACTTCACTGCACTAGTCAGTGAGGGTGGTAGACACTGTTGAGTGAGCATGTGTGCTGTGTGGCCTAACATTCAAAATGACTGAGCCAGTAGAACAACGAATCTGCATCAAATTTTGCGTTAAACAATGCGTGTTGTGTTTCCCACGCGGACACACCCACCTTCGCACGTGGGGGGGGTGCCTTCGAACTGCAGCTGGGTGCGGAGCTTGCAGGTGAGCGTGTCGGCCCCAGACAGCGTGTACCCCGGGTGGCACTGGTACCGCACAAAGTCACCTGGAAGAGGCCAGTGAACAGTTGGCGATGACACCCCTTTGACCTTGAGCTGGGGCCCAGCCCAGGGAGCCCTGGGCTGACCGCCCCTGAACCTGCATCCGCCCCGGAACCCACGTGCTTCCTCATTTTCGACTGTTCGATAAAACGTTGCCATTTCTGCTCCTCATTTACAGAAAGGCCACCTGAAGCTTAGCCTGCGTCTGGGACAGAAATGACTGATGCATCACTGTCCCTTCCCCTTCCCTGAGGATGACGGGGAATGACAGTGAAACGGGCACTTGGACCTTTAGGCTGGGAGACAGGATGGCTTTCATGCTCCAGTGAGGCCTTGGCCTAATGGCCACGGTCCCCCAACTCAGCCATTCCGAGTGTTCTAGGACTGGGGACCTGTGGTTTGACCGGGGCCTGATGGGGCGGGGGGTTCCCAGCGGGACGGGGTGCCTGTAACTGGGACCATGACCTGCAAACCTACACAGGGGCACTGATGGGTGTCTGGGGAAACAGGCCACCGATAGGAAAGGACAAGCAGAACTTCTAACTCTTGTCGTAGGACATGGCCCCCTCCCCCAGTGTCCGCAAAAGGCCAGAGTCGGCCTCGTCGTTACTGTGGCCATGGATGACGGAGTTTGAGTCTGCGGTCGTGTGGCCCTACCTCAACACACGGATCTGGTTCTTCAGAAAACGTCACTCAAGAGAAAAAAACGTGTACTCTGGGGAAACCACTCAGAGCGAAGAAAAGACTGACTTCTTATCACAGGAACCAGAAATCACGGACATGAGAAAGGGGCGTGCACCTGCCCGACGCGTGAGCCCTGTGTGCAGCCCCCCTGCCGCAGGGGCCGCAGGGCAGCTTCTGACCAATGCTCACCCCGGTCCCAGCCCCGTCCCGGCAGGGTGGGTGGGGAGAGGGGGCGAAGCTAACGAGCTCCTGATGAGAAACCCGTTACCGATTTCGAAGTCCTCGTCCTCCATCAGCATCTCCGCCTGCGGGACAGTTGGGGGCGGCTGGCACTTCTTCAGTTGAAATGCTACACAGTGTATGAAAACAAAATGACCACAATTACATTCGCTGAATCAACAAGATCATTAAGAAGGCGTCCTTTTTACGCTGTTGTAACACACAGGCACGCAAACAGCTCTGCATTTATTAGTAAGTCACGGTTTTATAAGGCCCTTGAGCACCCGTGCTCACAGGATAGTTTAATGTCTGGGGGGCACCTGACGTCAGAGAAAACTGTGCACTTTCCAGACGGGAACCTGGGTGCACAGCCCCTCCTGTGAGGGACCCTGCACGGGGAATGGCCCGTGACGGCCTCGTCCGGGTCCATGTTCAGATGCGACGAGGTCTCTGCCTCCGGGCCCGGGACTCCCGTGGTGGCACACCTCTGGACAGGCAAGGGACCCTCCCACGTTTCTCCTACGTTAGTTAGCACGCGTTCTCCAGCCCCCCGGGGCTGCCCTTGCTCCATCCGGGAGGACGCAGGCGGTGAGGACACAGGAAGCTCACCGACCGTGCATCTGAGTTTCCTGTGCGACCCGCTTCCCTTGGAGCGAGTCCACGCTTTCCGGGAAAACACAGCTGGGGACGGCGCGAAATACCAAAGGTGCCCTGAGGCAATGGAGGGCCCCGGGAACGCGGGAACCGCATGCGAGGGCCTCCTCTCGGGCTCTTTAGCTGGAGCCCAGGCTCCGACCGGAGCAGAACCACATGCAACCCTCTGCCCCTCGGAGGGCGAAGGCCCACTGACCGTGGAAGTTGAGCACGAAGAAGCCGCCGTTGGAGAAGTCGCTGTGGAACCTGAGCAGCACCTGGTTGGTGGAGCTGTACGCGGTCTCCAGTGCTGTGTTCCCGCTGAAGACGCCGAGCTGCGGGGCGTTCTGGTCGGGGCCGTCCCTGCGCAGACAGGGTGTCTGAGCCAGAGGCGCCCGCTCGGCATCCATGCACCCACAGCCCACACCCTGGGCTCCAGGCACAGGGCTGGTGTGCACCCCCAGGGGGCACCCAGCCAGCCACACACGCTTGTCCACAGCTGGCCGTCCAGGGAGCGTCGGAGACGTGGTCCCCCCCCCACACCTGCCAGTGCTGTGACTCCATGTCACAGCTTCCTTTCGGAAGTCCCCACCGTAAACACCGTGTTCCATGGCGTGGGTGGTGAGACCTACGGAGACCTTGCTACTGAGTTCGACTATGTCTGAAACCTGAGTGAATGTTCCCATCTGCTGGACACTGTGTTCAGACACGTGGGGATGTGTATTCGACGCCCCCGAAGCTGCCTGGACTTCCTGTCGGCGCCTCCCACGGGCGCCGGCCCACCTCCGTGAGCCACGAGGACCCCGCCTCTCCCTCCCAGACCTGCTTTTGAAATGGCAGCTCTCTCGGTCAGCTCCCTGTTCCAGGGTCTCCGTCCCTCCGTGCCCCGGAGGCCCCTCTGCGGCCAGGCCGTCTGTCTGTCCTCGGAAACTGCGTTTCCCTCCAAGGGGGACGGGACGTGCTGAGACCGGGATCTGCTCCCATGGCTCTCCTCGGAGCCCCTCGTTGACCCTGCCTGGCTCCTCAAATGAAGCCCCGAGGCCCTCGCGTGATCTGCAAGGCCCTGGGTCACCGGTCCCGCTTCCCCGGGCGGCCGCGGCCTGTCTTGGAGCTTCCTGCCCGCCCCACTCAGCCCCACACGCCTGAGACGGTCCAGCTGCCGGGACCCAGCGCTCTCCCGCCTGTGGAGCAGCCCGCCTTCACCGCAGCTTCACCAACACACACTCACACACACACACTCACATGCACTCTCACACTAACACACACTCACACACATGCACTCTCATGCACTCACACTAACACACGCTCACACATTCCCTCACACATGCGCACACTTCTGTGCACACATGCACTCACTCGCACACCTGCCCTCACACATACACGAATGCTCACACACATACTCCCATGCACTCCCACGTGTCTTCACACACTCACACTAACATACACTCATACACACGCCCTCACCCATACACACTTACACACACTTCTGTGCACACATGCGCTCACACCCACACTTTCACAAACTCACACATGTGCCCTCACACACACTCACACTAACATACACTCATACACACGCACCCACACTTGTGCACACTTCTGTGCACACACGCACTCGCACCCCCACCTTAACCGGGATCACTCCTCTGGTGTTGGTGGCCGTCTACCCCAGAAGCACACCCTGGCTCTTCAGATCTGCCCCCCGACCCCCACACCCGGCGGTGCCCTCCGCCTGTGCCCCTCACAGGGTCACAGGGTCACAGGGTCACAGGGCCACGGCATCTCCTGCTCGCCCACAACCTCTCACCTCTGAAGCAAAGGCGGGGAGACCCCTTCCCACAGGTAGACACAGTGAGCCGAGGGGACTCTCGGGGGCCCCAGGGGGCCACCCAGCTCCCTGGAAAGGGGCGGAGCTGCAGCAGGCCGCCCCGAGCCTGGCTCCGAGCGCTCCACACCCGCCTCCTGGGCGCTTCTCCACTGCGTTTCCCGAGGATGGAGGGAGGGAGGGAGGGAGGGAGGGAGGGAGGAAGGAAGGAAGGAAGGAAAGAAAGAAGGGAGGAAGGAAGGAAGGGAGGGAGGGAGGGAGGCCACATGTCGACACTCCATCCAGAGTCCCAGAGGCAGCACATTCTCCTGACGGTGAAGGAGCCTGCCAGCTGCTCTTTAAGAAAAGTGACCACCCTGACTGTGTCAAATGAGTGACCTCGGGATGCTCTCCTGCATTCGGAGTGATGGTGCACAGACCCACCACGTCACGTTACGCTTATTCTCTGCACGTCCGGCCTCGGGTGTCCACGCCCTTTCCCTCACCCCCCAGGCAGCCTGGTGCCCCGGTGACCTGTGAGTGGCCGGGAGGGCGGCCAGCGACCGTCCCCGCTGGGCTGCGAGGACAGGGCCCTACCAGACAGCGATGTAGTCGTTGACGGCCTCGGTCTGCAGCAGGGTGAAGTTGATGTGGACCCCGTGGCCCGGGGGCACGCTGAGCAGCCACAGGCAGTCCTTCAGGATGGGGTACTCGTCCGGGAAGCCGGGGGAGTAGACGGTGCCGTTCTGCGCCGTCACGTTGTAGCCGCAGGGGGCTGAAGGGGGCGACGGGAAGGCAAGCGCCACGCGGTCAGCCCGAGAACGGACCCAGGGAAACGCTTCCAGGGCTCTGCAGCCCCGCGGCCGACATGGCCCCACCCAGAAATGACTGTGAAGTATTCCCCCAGGGACTGCCTGGTCAAAATAACTCCCCTAAAGTCTTAAAACCTTAGGGAATGGTGCTTCCAAGCTGTCTGCTTCACTTAATACATTCACCAAACTGCCGCGATACCTTTGAGGTAAACTCACCGCCGTGAAATTAAAAAGAAAAAATCTTCAGTCAGCGTGTCCTGTGCGGACCTGGCAATGCACCAGTGTTGTGTGGATTGTGTGACAATTACGCAGGAAAAAGAAATGCTTTTGTTTTAAGTGAGACTTCCGAAGCCTCTTTAAACTGTCTAAAAGTGGTGTTTTCACCTGTTTGCTGCGAAACACAGACATCGTCCCCCTTCATGGGTCTACACGCGTGGGGGATGGAGATGGACATATGTCAGTGGCGGGCCCACTGCTGGAGCTCACGGCGCTCAGCTCCAGGAAGAGGCCCCAGTACCAGATCCGCCCGGGTTTGTTTCACTTAGTACATCCATATTCCCAGCTGCCCTGGCAATGGCTTCCTTTCTTTACAAAAAGTGAACCCACCACGTAACAGCAGAATAACGCAAGGCGTATTCTTCACTCCCCATGGGGCTTGACGCACTGCAATCACAGACCCACAGACTTTTTAATCAAGCCCAACCCCACGGCCGTGCTGTGAGTGTGTGTGGCCAGCGGGAGTCCTGTGGGACTAAGGACTTGACAGGAAAGGTGAGGAATCTGAGCCGAGTGAATAGGCCAAAACCCATGAAAAGACAGAAAGAAAAAACTCAGCAACAAGATGGAGGAGGAAAGGCGGGCGGCGGGCCCAGCCCAGGGAACCGCGCAGGTGCCTGCGAGCCTGTGACAGGGACCGACCCTGGTGAGTTTGCTGTGAACTCGTTGGAAGTGGGGGCTGCAGAGAAAAGGGGGTGGGTTTCCCAGTGTCATTCCCGGTGGGGTCTGCAGTCAGGCAGACGTTGATGGACACCCAGCAAGGCAGACAGAGGGTGACAACCTGTAACCAAGGGCCACAGGGCACTCGGCAGTGGCCCTGGGGATGTCACCCTGCTGCACCTCTCTGCCAGCTGCACCTCAGGCAGTTGCTCACCTGCCTGTTCTCCCACCACCTCACCGCCGCCCCAGGGGTGAGTGGGTCTCCTCCACCCAAACAGACACCCCCACGTCTGAACGTCTGGGAAGGTTCGTTTCTGGGCTTATCAACCGCCTCGGTCAGTCTTCATTTCAAAAGTATGTACACCGTCTCCTATCTTTGGCTGCTTGGATTTCTCGTATCAGTTACGCACCCAAATGTTTCCTGCTTACGAAATCTGTCCGTCTAAAAGGCGCTGGCGACACACTGCCCACAGTAGGTCGTCTGGGAGTTTCCTGAGCCCGCATTTTAAAGGTTCACAGGACGGGGGTTACACTTTTTAGAAGACCTTCAAAGAGCATCTACACCAGTATTTCAGTGATAAACAGTTAACTAGGTCAACAACATGTCTGAAACTTTTGAGCTATATTTCTAAATGTAGATACCTATTTAATTATCAAGTTACACTTAGTAACTTAACAAACCACAGTCTTTCAAAGTACATGTCAATAATTATAACCCATTTAAAAAATAACTGTGGCTTCTGTATAATTATTAGTTCTTGGCAAAATTAGTAATGCCTTGAATTTCTTGTCGCTTCCAGATATACTCTTTCGTTTATTCATTTTGAAGACATCCTGTTTGATGCGCTTATAGAAAATGGCATCACCGCTAAGCTACATCAGAAAAGATACATTTGGTTGTCCTCAAACTGGTAAACTCATGCTGAGCCAGCAGTTATTTCCATCTCAGAAAACTGGATTTGAAAAAGCAATGAAATCTAATTAAATGCTTAATTCTAGTTTTTATACCAAGCCAAGAAGTATCCCATTTACATACAAATACAGAGGATTCGGGTAAAAACTGTGGAAAGAAAATAATCCTGACAAGTCAAATAATTTATACACATAAATATATGAATTTTAAAATGGAAAATGGTATGAAAAGTTTTTTTAAGTGTTATAATGCAAAAACACTGGATATGCAATTGCTATTTGAGTTTTATAAAATAATTTAAAAATGCTATTGTCCATCTGCATTTAGTCACACTATTAGTGATTGTTACAGTATTAAATTTGCATTAGGCTAACATCATCTTAAAAATACAGCTAAAGTCCTCCTATAGTATTTCTCTAATGGTATAGAATGGAAAAATACAGATAAAACATGATTTAAAGGGTTCACTGATGCGTTTTCTCCTTTCTTCAGTTAAAACTGAAGCACAGCTGGACGCCACGCCCTCTCTTGCTGCCGGACACAAACATTTATCATTTCAAAGGTCCCCTGAGTTGGTGTTTTCACTCCAAGCTCCTGTGTTTATAATGTTGGAATACCCAGTTGGCACCAGCAACCTTTCTGTTCCATATGCACACTTCGTAAACAAAGCCCTCGGGTCTATTTATTTTAACTGGATGTTGCAAAAATCCCCAGTGATGTCAGGAGTCGGGCAGCCAGGCAGCAGCTCTGGAGCAGTGAGCCTGGCTCAGAGCCGGGCGTCCCGCGGACCAGGGGCCGTCTGCGTGCCCAGCCCCCGCACCCCGGAACCCCCTCAGCAGGTGCGCATGGCTGCCCGGATGCCCGGCACCACCGTCTTCCTACGAGGGCCCCCAACATGCTGCATTTGCTCCCACCGTTTCTCCGAGGACAGTCTCGACCTCTGAGCTGCTAAGCAGGGTGTGTGCCTCAAGCCCCGCCATGAAAAGAAACCAGTGTTCCCAAACGCAAAGCAAGGTGCTGGTACCGTGCAGGAAGTCGGCACCGAAAACACCCAGGGTGACAGTAATAAGACGCTTCCCACCTCTAATCCCATGGGCCGGCGGGGCCTCCGTGGAGCTACCGCGGCCCCTCCTGCCAGACGCCCCTCACTCCCCAAACTCCGTCTTCCGTACCCGACATCCCTCAGCGCTGTCTGCATGCATCTGGTTTTGCCTAAGAAATCTCTGCACTTATCATTTTGATGCCCTTGTAATTTCCTCGAGGGCAAGGCCTATCGATTCATCTTTGTGTTTTTCTTTTTAATTTATCCTGGCATAGGATAGAGCCCTGAATACTAAGCAGAATGTGGCTCCCGACAAACACTCGTGGGACAAATCACTCCTTTAACACTGAACGCGCCGTCACGCACCAGGGGAGGCCCCGCTGCTCCCGCGAAGAGCGGCCAACCTACCGTCACACCTGGGGAAAGGGTGGTTCCAGTCGCGGCTGGTCCCGTGCTGGCAGGTGAGCACCGGGTGGCCGGTGAGGACGTACCCGGGGTAGCACTCGAAGGAGATGGACTGGCCCACGCTGAAGTCGGAGTTGACCACATACCCGTTCTGGAAGGGCGGGGGCTCCGGGCAGTTCTGCAGCTCGTAGGCTGGAGAAAACACACAGAGCCGAGGGCGTGAACGACCCGGTGGGGGGCCGGGGAGTGCGCGCAGGGGCGTGACTGCCTTCAGCCTCTTAAGGGGTCAGTTTTTGAAGAACACGCCTGCCAAAGCTGCCAGTTACCGCGGGAAGTAAAACAATGGTTGTCGTGAGCGGGGTGGCGAGGACACTCTGCATTTCATGCTTCCTATGTGCTTTAGACGTGATGTCGCACCACAAACACAGCTGGTCGTGTGCCGTGAAAGGGCGTCTACGCGAGGAAGTCAACCAACGAAAGGAGGGGAGACGGCGCCGTCCCCTCCCCACCGGGAAAACATCACGCCAGCGCTCCGACCCGAGTGCTGTCACGGCGGGCTGCTGTTTCGTTTGTTTGCTTTAATTAATATTCCATAGAGGAATTTATTCTGTTTTCTTTATTTTTTTTTAAACTGTAGAGTCGGGGGATGGAGGAAAAATGATGACGGGATTAAGATGTACACATCAGTAGTTGCAGAACAGTCACGAGGGTGTGATCACACACAGGGAACGTAATCAGTAACTTTCTGATAATGATGTAGAGAGCCAGGTGGGCACTGGGCACATCAGGGGGCACTTTGTACAGTACGTGACAGTCCAACCACCATGCTGTGCTCCCGAAACCAACACAGAACAACACTGAATGTCAGCTGTAATCGAGAAATGAAATTATAAAAACAAACTGTGGAACTGCTGTGGTAGGAATTAGTATGAGCATACTCTTCGCGTAACAAACGGTTATTGTACTTCGCGTGTTCCCAAGAACAAGCCCCAGGTGAGATGACGGACCAGCAGACTGTGCGATTCACAGACGGATATGTTGGTCAGTGAAGGTTGACTGGTCTGTAAACGAGGTGTAGCCTCCAGATGCCATCCTTTCACAACCAGGTGAGCCCTCTGCATAGCAACACCCTCAGCTGGCGGGGTGCAGGGTGCAGCCCTGAGCAGGAGGAGCTCCCCCGGCAGCGCTGGCCCCCTGCCGGACTTTGCTCCCACAGCAGGGACTGGGCGTCTCCCTGCTCCCTAACAGAGCCACACGGCGGAGGCCCCACCCCGGAGCGCGGTGCTCAGCTTCCACCTGCCACGCGTCCCTGCCGAAAGCAGGCCCAGACCTGGGCCCACTGCCCCGTCGGCTGAGGGTGCCACACTGGCACCAGGGAGACCAGTGGCCGCCCGGGAGGCCTCGAGCGGGAAAGAGAGAGCGGTGGGAACTTTGACCGCACCTGCCAGCGGTTCGATCTGCTGGTTGCCACCGGGGCCGGTGTCTGTCCTCGGAATTTGTAAGTAAAGGCCAGAAAATCGTGTGGCCTGCGACTCCCACCAGGTGATTCCCGAGCTTTGGACTTTTTGTTTCCGCATTAGTCCCCGAAATAAAGGAGGAGTGACAAGAAGGGTGACGAGGCAAGAGGAGAACACAGCAGCGTGTGTACAAGTTGCCGGACACATGAGAACATGTGAGGCGGGGCCGGGTGCGTGGGTTGACTCCAGAAGACGGAGTGCCAGGTTTGCACACACACAGTCCGATCAGATCAGCATATGTGTCTGTCTCACACACACAAGTGCATGTACACACTGACACACCCACACACAGATGGACACACGAGTGTGCAAGCCAATACACATGTGCACAAGCACACACCTCCATGTAGACACCCACCACACACATCACATGTATGCCACACGTGTGTGCACATACACGACACACATGCACACTCCTCCAGTCCCTTGTGCTTCTCCCTGGGCCGCCCTGGTGAATGCACGGCAGGGCCGCCCCGCCCCACAGCCCCCAAAAGCCTTTCCCACGAGGCAGGGCCAGCTGGCCAGCGCCTGCCCGCCCGCCACACGCGGGAGCCCCCCCGCCAGGCCGTGGAGTCGGGCGCTGCTCCGCAGACCCGTGCTCAGGGCGAGAGCGGGCCCCGTGCCGTGTGCCCGCGGCCGGCAGGCGCCCTTCTCCCCTGGGCTCTTTCGGGAAGAAACGGGACGTGTTCTCCTTCTCGCTTCGCCTGAAACACAACGCACTCTGCTCGAGCAGCGAGCTCTCCGGTACACCCACAACTGATAATAAAACAAAACAAAACAAACAACAACAACAACAACAAAAAAAATATATATATATATAAACAGTCACTGGTTCCCACGGGCGGGCAACCAAGAGAAACCGTGTTCGACCTCCCTTGTCCTCATGGGAAGACCCCACCGCAGACCGAGGGGGGTGCCCCCGGGCGCGGACGAACATCAGCTACCACGCATCCCAGACAGTGTGGCTCCGTTGGGTGAGACGTGTCCCACACACACACAGAGGGCCCCTCGCTGCCTGGGCGCAGGGGAGAGAGGCTGCGGTCCGCGGGGACACCACACTCACGTCCCCCCTCGTCCTTGGCTTCTGCCTCCACAACAGAGCAGTCTGGGCCCAGTAGCACTTAGGCACACACTGTCCTTGGAATTTGGGAGTCACACGCATGTGTAAGTGCACCCCGGTCCCAGACTGACCATTCCGCGTCAGTAACTAGTGTGTGTGACAAGGGCACAACCCTGGTTCTCATTCTGCGGTAGGTTATCTGCCTAAATGTTCGTTGCTGGGTCTGTCACCCCCTTGACCCCCACACGCCCTGACGAAGCCGACCCCTGTCACTACTCAGCTTGCAGCCCGTCCCAGGCTTTCTGGGTCCCTGGAGGCTGGGCTGGGGGCACTGAACTGAGGGGCTTGTGGTGACTGTGACTTCAGCTGTGTCTTGTGCTTTCACCAGCCAAGGACTCTGTGCCCGGAAGTCCTTCTGCACAGGAGCCTCCACGCTGGGGAGAAGCGGATTTGACCCAGAGGGCTCCCGAAGGCGGCAGCTCCCGAAGGCGGCAGGTCCCTCGTCAGGCCCGGCACCTGCTGTCCTCACAGCTGCAGAAGCCCGGGGCGTGCGGCTTGGGACGCAGGCGGACGGTCTCAGCTGGGAGGCGCCCTCCTCCTCGGAGATGCACCTGCCCAGGGGCACTGCGCTGCCCGGGTGTGTTTCTGGTCCAGAGAAGCCGGTCTCCTGAGGGACCGAGGGGCTGAGGCTGCCCCACTGCTCTCTGCTCGCCCACGTTCTGCAGGGAGGAGAGGGGCCGACTTTTAAGGTCTGGACTCTGGTTGCCGAGAGTCAGGCCCTTTCTCCATCTTGGAAAAGGACGCTCTCAAGGGGTGGGGCATCGATACAAGTCTTTGTTGACGGCTTGTGAAGCAGTTTCTGCCCACGGAGATGGGGTGCAGTGCAGGCCCACTTTCAGGGGCGTGTCAACCCCCCGCCCTCACTCTTCCGGCAAAGACGGCTGCTCAGAGTGGCACTGAAGCGAGAAGAGGGACAGCGCCGGAAGCCCATCGAGGTCCCGGGCCCGGCACGGCCAGGCCCGCAGGGAACGGTCGGAGGGTGTCCTTGGGGTCTGCGGCCAGGGGGGCGGCTGGGCCGCTTCCCCTTCAGGGAGACGCAGGTGGCGGCGGACGGGCCCTGCTTCCTCACGCTCGGTTCACTAAAAATTCCACAGCTTCCCGTTGGCAGGGAGGACTGCACAGACCTCACAGTCCTCCTGTGCTTCGTGTCGGTTGCTCTCGTTTTCTGTTCTTAAAGGTGCGTCACACCGGCAGCAGAAGCAAAGTGAAAGGGAGGAGCGTGGAGAAAGAAAAGACTCCCCCCCCACCCCGTGGCTGAGCAGGCGAACCTGACTGGAGCCGGGCAGCCACAGGCAGGTGTGTGTACGATGCAGGGAAGACAGAGGAAGATGCACAGGGAGGGAGACCAAGTTTCAAGTTCTCCAAAGATCAGATAAAAAAAAAAAAACCCAAAAGGAGAGAAATCCACTAAAATTCTCAACATGCCACAATTTCAAAAATATTATTTAAAAAAAATCTAAGTCCCGGTAAGTGCATACCAACACCATGAGAGCAAGTTAACACACAGAACGGGGTCCTCCCGGCAGAGCCCCAGTTTGCAGGTACGAACGTGTCCGTCATTCACATCTGACAGCCGCAGGCAGCACTTGCGTTGGTGTTGAAGTGACCGGTGCACGAAGGGACGGCCCATGGGGTCACGGGCTCGTCTGCCTCCCACCCACGATGTCCTCTGGCTCACGGCTGATGAGTCGGTGCCCATCTCCAGGTCTCACCCATTTCCCATTTTCAAGTTAGACATAAGGTGCACGAACTCAGTTTTATTTAACATGTTCTTGATCCTCACTGCTTAAGTTCTGAAGCCACTGAACTGCAAGACAGCTCCATCTGCTCATCACGTCTCTGGCCTTTACGTGGCCATAAATAAGCGACGAGGCTTGAGAACGAGACGAGCTGCACAGCCTCGTGGAGAATGACAGGAGTTCTCTGCATGATTTATGCCTCTTCTTATGAGCTACTCACCGTGCGCTCAACGTGTAAATCTCAGGCGGAACCTGGGAATGGGGGAGTGACAGGCAATCACGGCGGTGTCATTTCACTGTGGCGTAAATTCTGTGAAATGATGAAGCTTCTAATGAAGCGCCATCCCTGTGGGTAAGGAGGGCGCCTCACACCCGAGTCCTTCTTTCTCAGTTTGTTTACTCTCACATCCCTCCACGACAGCAAATTCCTTACCTACAATAAAAATATTTTGTTCGGGATTTTTAAAAATGTGGACACTGAACTTAGAGTAGGGTGTCAGGTAAATAACACGTTCGCTCGGCCAACCAGAGGTCCCGTTGGGTGAGGACACCTGGTCCAGAGGCCCGAGGCGGAGCCACAGGAAACTGGAGAGGAGAGGGGCTCACTCTGAGCCGTCAGGGGACCGTCCCCGGGGGAGCAGGTGGCAGAGCTCCAGACTCCGCTGCTGCAGGAGGACAAGGAGAGCAGATCCGTGGGGTTTCACAGACTTGGTGAAACCTAATTCCAAAACCTGACGACTGGAAACACGTTAATGTTCAGCTAACTGATCACAGTGACAGTGTGACCCCCGGCCTGGACCATTCCTGAAGAGGCCTCCACATGGGTTTCTTAGACCCTTTTGTAACATTGAACGGACCCACGACATTGGAACTGTGTAGACGTGGCTTCAGTGACCTGTCTGGAAAACACCGAGAGAAGTAAAACAACAACAATACACTGGAACTACGGGGGTTAGAAATTGTGGAATATGAAATATGGTCTCAAAGTCCATGGCAAATGATATCCTCATGGATTTTCTTCCATATCACATTTTTTGTGTTATTTCAGACGTGAGTACTGAGTGCTTGAATTTTTAAAATTGTTTTTAAAGTTAATTACAGCTGACGTGCTAGCCTGCATTAGTTCCAGGCATACAACACGGTGGTCGGACATCTCCGTGCTGTGGGAAGTGCCCCCCCGGTGGGAGTTTTCACTTGACTTCTGCAGTGTCGATAAGGAAGGAAAAGTCAAGTCCGAATACGGTATTAAGGTTTTCAAACCGGGGGAGGTTTCTCCAAAGTTCTCAGGGTCACCTGAGGGAGACCACTTATGTGGCAGCTTATGGTTCGAGATACATAACTGTGTAGAGTTTAATTGACCTGGAAATTAAGATTATGGCAATGAAGCAATAAGGTTTACCCTGGATGAACCAAGTGTAACTGGTGATCACGAGTAAAGTGTTCATTTTTTTCGCGGAACACACGTCAAAGAGGGTGGGGAGGGGGGGAGGAGGGTGGGGAAATGGGGCAATGAAGCCTGGAATGCAGACGCCCAGGTCCAAACTGAGGACGAGGGCGACCAAGCGAAGGGAAGGAGGTCAACGAGGGCGCCTGCAGCGCCCTCCCAGTGCCCTCCCCGCCCCCGGCGACCCGTTCTCTGAACGTCGGCCATTTGTCTCTCACTTACAATCTCTCAGTGACTCCCTGCGCAGGTGGGAGGGAAGTAGATGTGACTGACTGTGTCGTACATGAATGTCACTCAAATCACGGACCCCTCAGATTCTAGAATCACTGCTCCAGAGAGAGAGGGTCAGGCTCTGAATGCAGAGTGGGAATCACTTCGTAATTGCGTGCCATTTCCCCGCCGATCCTCTGTACCCGCCACGGCTCTGGCTGAGACACTCCCCCACCTGCCACAGCGGGGTGTCCGGTGTCCCCACACACGGGCCTCGACGCCTCCTCACACAGCCTCCTCCGAGCCCACCTGCTGGGTGGGCCCCTCCCGCCAGGCCGCAGGGGGTTGCCCTCGAACTTCCGCAAGTGGCCCAGGGGCGGAGAGCCTCAGGCTGGGCTCTCGTTTTGTGTCAGAGGTCAGCACGTCCCACTAAAGAGTGACACTGTTTACGGTGAAACGGTGTCTCACTCTAATCCTTCCCTCCTAGCCCAGAAGTGGAGTTCCCGGCACAGCCTAGTGAACAGGGAACACGCCGACATCACACCCTGACATCACACCCCGACATCACACCCCGACAGGGCCAGACCTTGGAGCCCTCACCGAGTCATCAGACACCAGAAGGAGGGTCTGTTAGACTCCGGGACACTTTCCTCCCCAGCTTCACTCTGAGTCCGAGCTGATGTGACGCAAACTGCCACTCTTGTTAGTTAGAATGGGTCAGACCGAGATTCTGGGCGGGGGGGTGACAGTCAGACTGGGAGTGATGGCAGACACAGGGGCGCACGGGGACTTCCGGCCACCTGCCCTGTCGACTCCCTGCTGGCCCGGCCTTGACGCCCCTCTCCGCCTTCCCCTCCTGCCCGATGTCTACTTCCAGAGACCCGGGTTCTGGAAATGTGAGTTCATCGCCCATGGTCATGACTTCAGTGCTACTGCCTACCAGTTCCACACAAACACCCCCTCCTCGGGGGGTTCACTGCCTACCCTCTGTTTTCGGGGGCAGCCTGCGAAATTAAAGGAAACAGGTGATTTAGCCACATTATAAGGAAAAGGCCCTGCCTTGGACATTCCCAACGTCATTTGATTTAAAGACAGTCAGGAAAAGGCCAAACTATTCTGTGTGAAATGAAAACTCTGGACTTTTTCATGTCAAAACCGCTATAATGGTCGATCCAAGCTTTTCTTAGAGCTCTCATGTTTTGAAAGTTTAAAAAAGAATAAAGTTCATTCACTGAATTTTTTTCTGGATTAATTGGAATGAGGCTGAGAAGAGACATCATCTCAAGCAGAGAGGAGATGTGAGTTAACAGACGCAGCCAGGCTCCCTCTGTGCAGGGCCCCCGCCCCCCGCCATCTGGGAGGTCAGGACCTCCGTGTGGCAGGGAGGATGCCCCACCCCATGAGAAGACAGAGTGACGATGAAGCTCCGTGGCCTGGAAGGTACATGGTGGTGGCCACGAAGGGCGAGAGCAGTGTGGGGGGGCCGTGGACGCGGCGGGGCAGCCTGTACCCTCGGAGTCTGGGTCCCCCCGGCGAGGACGAGAACAGAAATGACCCCACGACCTGCCAACCAGCAGGGTTTTCCTCTAACCGTGATTCCGGCTGCCCGGCGGCCAGTCGGTCAGTGCGGTTTCAATGTCTGCGAGAAGCGTCTGGGGCTTCTCTGCTTCCTCACCTTGGTAAGCCAGTTTGAACCCTTGCCGGTTTTGGGAGTGGTCGCTGTAGAAGTGGACCAGGGTCTCGTGCGTGGTGCTGAGCAGCGCGGCGGGGAGGTCGGGGCCGCTGAACTGCCCGATGAGCGGGCTGGTGGGGTACGGCCCGTTCTGGATCTCCAGGTAGTCATGGTTCGCCTCCGTGGAGAAATTCAGGAACCGAATGTGCGCGCCTACCAAGAAAGGCAAAATTAAGGAACGTTAGTAATGAAATGGACAAAACCCAGGTCTGTCCAAGGCGAGTGAAATTTCACGAGCGTCCCTGAACACTGTCTCTCAGGAGGCAGAACAGTGGGGCAGGGGAAAGGGGACCGACCCATCACCCATTTTGGGTCACAGAGGGCCTCAGTTTGATCTCCCCGCTGACCTATGGGGCTGTGTGACCTTCCTCCGTGCAGTGAGGGTCCCTACGTCGCTTCCTCGTCAGACAGAAAGAGCACCAGTACTGTGTCACAGGGGGCGCTGGCTGCTGCCCCCACGCCCGGCAGTGACGCCGTCCAGACGCCATTCTGACTAACACACCCATCAACACGAGGTTCTGGCTGCATGTCAAACCTTCCAGAAGGCAAGTTGTGGCTTCATCAAGGAAGAAGCCGACGGAGGCCCCCAAATAAATGCAAGAAATGTTGCAGGTGGCTTTTAACTGGTCCGGCCACAGCACAAGAGGTCTGTTAGTTCTGCAGGTGACTCTTCTGATTCTGTGTTGTGTGCAAAGCGAGGGAATGTTGCTGCAAACCTGGTGACTGTGACTGGTGCAGTCCCGTCCCAGAGCCTGGCACAGGCCGACACACTGGGGCCTGCTCAAGTGGCCAGTGTCACGCAGCTCTGTGTGCTGCAAACGGGGGGGGGGGGGTCCGATGACCTCCAAGCAAAGCAAAACCAGAATCGCGCTGAGTCACTTGCTGGGGCGTTGTGGCACTCTCGGACACGGATCTGATGGCCGTGTCTGAAGTCCTTCCACCACGGGAATAGTTCAGATGATGCTCCGGAGGCCCGCGTCCGTGCACAGAGCCAGGCAATTCACTGGGGTTTGGAGAGCCGAAGTCAAGCACTGTGGGAGCTCTCACGGATTATCCTGCCGACGTATCAGAGAAGCTTTACTTGCGTTACTTCCCTGTGCTTGACAGATAAGAAGAGCTTTCGTTTTGCTCTCCGTCTAACGCACTTGATCCCGCGGTTCGGAAACAGAAGATAATGGTCCCCCTACTTAAGTGCGAATGTGGGAAAATGCAAAGCAAGCACATCGACTTAGCTACTGATGGAACGTGAAGCCCCCCTGAGCCAGGATTCAGGGGGGCCGGCGGGGGAAAGCCTCACGTACACAGCAGCAGGGAAGCTAAGCCTGAGGGTGCTGCATAAAATGGAAAGTCGCCCAAAACACCCAGCGTCGCCCTCGATGCAGAAAACTCTGTGAGACACATGGCAGAGTGATGTCACCCCCTTTGCCGTCTGTCCGGCCAGGGACCCCGCTCGCCCACTCGCTTTTCTCCCAGTCCCCAGGACGGTCGTCCTTAGTATTGCCGTCGTCCTACAGGTGAGCAGACCGAGACCCAGGAAGGCGGGGGCTCTGCCCCCACACACGGGGCGGCAGCGTGGTGCGCGCCCCGCTCTGACGGACGTAGGCCGCCCGTCTCTGGTCGTGGCGTGCAAGGTGCTTACACCACAGCAACACACTCGGGACGTGAAAATGCTCCAGTCCTTCTTGGAGAAAACCGTTTGTGTTAAATTTGTTCAACTGAGGTTGGAAGAGGAGGACGGAGAAGCAGAGGGGGCCTTCGTCAGGAGAAGAGGAGGAAGCAGAGAGCACAGGGAGATGCTGGAGAGGAAACGGAGACCTTGAACAAGTCAAGCCAGGCCGAGGACCGATTCAGAACGTGGGGCTCACTCAGTCCGCACCTGTGATGCAGCCCTGACCACACACGCACAGCACAGCCAGGGAGGCAGGTCCCGGCGGGGGTCCGGGCCACACCGATATGGGCCTGGTGCACAGCTGATAGGAAATAACTCTGTACACTTAAAACTTCTGTGATTGTTTAAAAATGCCAAATGTAAGTGCTGATAACAGCCTAAGGGCCCATTAGTAAATGACTGGATCAAAAACTGTGGTACATTTACACGATGGAATTCTATGCAGCAGAAAGAAGGAGCTCCTACCCTTTGCGACAGCATGGAATGGAACTGGAAAGCATTATGCTGAGTGAAATAAGCCAGGCGGTGAAAGACAAATACCATATGATCTCACCTATAACAGGAACCTAATGAACACAGTAAATTAATGAACACAAAAGAACCAGAAACTTGGAAACAAAGGACAGACAGACAGCAACCAGAGGGGAGGGCAGAGGGGAGAATGGTGGAAAGAAGGGGACGGGACTAGACAAGGAACCTGTGTGAATGACCCACGGACGTGGACGGCAGTGTGGGGGTGGGTCGGGCGGAGGAGGACAGAGGCGGGGGGTTGGGATAATGGTAACAGAACAACAATAAAATATTTAATTAAAAAGTAGAAGGAAAAATTTCAAATATGTTACTTCTTTGAGGAGCCAACAATGAGCTATCAATTTTCTTCTAAATTCTAGCAAATATGTTCAGACAAAAGAAATTTGTAAGCAGGACAAAAAGAAAGAGAGAGAGAGGCTGAGAGACTGGGGAGGGAGAGAAGCAGGCGAGTTGGGGGAGGGAAGGAGGGAGGAAGGAAGGGCCAGCAGCCCTCTGCGTCCCCCGTCTGGCCCGCCCCCCCCCACAGCTGGAAGGGCGAGACACTCGACTCCTTACGAGGTGGCACATCGGAATCCAATTTATTCCTCACCAGTTGCTGAATTATACACAGAGTTTTCTTTTGTAGCCTGGTCCCCGAAGCTGATAAAAGAGAGTTTTGTTGCTAATAAATACACAGCACTAACACATTCTGTGTGTGTGTGTGTGTGTGTGAGAGACAGACAGACAGACAGGCAGGCAGACCAGGTCAGGGCCCCGGGGCCTGCGGTCTCCTAAATGCCCATCCTGTTTGTCCCCACAAACTAGAATGCAGACAGAAACACAAAAACAGCCGAAATGGCTACTGAACCACCGATGTTTCCGTTTCTGTACAAACAGGGTAGGAAAGGGCGTGAACCCAGGTCAGGGCTCGAACACAACACAGTCCACACTTGGGAATAAAGTCAAAGAGCAGGGAGATGGCCTAGAAGGTGCTCCTGCCGGCTGCGCACATGCAGGCCTCAGACTTCCGGTCCGGAGAACATCCCGGGACTCACGGGGCCACAGGCCAAGAAAGAAAGGAGAGGCAGCAAGCCCACCAACGTCTCAGAGGCACAGGGAACGGGGGAAGGGGCTCCTTCCAGATCTGGATCTGAACTTGAAATGCACATGGAATTGTGACGGCTGCCGTACCAGGAACAAACTCGCACCTTGAGCAGGACGGAGTGTCAGCCACCCCTCAGGCTGCCTGCACGCATAGGGACGTAGACCAGAGCCCGCTCTGCTCCGGTCTCCATGGGGTCACACAGCTGATTGTCCATGAGTCCTGTCCAGCTGGACACGACCGAGCCCAAATGAAGGGATTACAATGAGCCCAGTGAGTCATCCTTGTCTCATCTCACAGAATGCTGGGGCCTAAGTGCTTTCGCACACGGAACCACAGCCCGCACGCCCGTCTTGGGTGGAAGTCACAGCACACGCCCTTATCTGGCTGTCATTACCTGTGAGAAACTCAGCGCGGGTGTGGGACCTTTGTTAAAACTTTGAGTAGTTGGGTGGCCATGACTTCAGAGTTAAACCCTCCATGTTCTCTTGATAGAGTTTGTGAATGTGAACTGTTCTATTTTGCATCTTCTGTGCAATAAAAAAATGGCCAAAGGGGTAACAGTTTTAGAGTTCAGGGAATATTGTGAAGAATCTCTCATCCCCTCCCTACGCTTCTACGTGGCCCAAAGGAAGGTTGTGTCGCTCGGCGAGGGCGCCCTGCTCCTGTAGTGGGTTGTGAACGCAGGTGGTGACAGCAAACCGAGAGGCACCAGGCTGCGTGTCTGTGAGCTCTGCCTTTAGACATTTCCAGGAAAGAGAGACAGAAATTCTGAGCTGGCGGGGCTCCTACCAAAGCCACACTGACCAGCCACCGGCTGCAGGAAAGGGAAGAAAACGGCAGGAAGTGGCTGGAGGATATGGTTGGGCACCTGCAGGCAGTCAGCTGAGAACCGCTCTGCCCGCCATCTCCACCCCAGGCGCTGGCAGCGCTTGAGGGCCGGCGGCTGAGTGGGCCAATGACCGAGAACTTACTGCAGAGACTCAGAGGGGTCTGGGCCCCCCTGCAGCTCTGGCCTAGGCCAGGGGTGGGGTGTGTGGGCATGTGGAGTGAGCAAATCTCACAATGAAGGGACAGACTTATCCCTGGCTGGTGTAGCTCAGTGGATTGAGCGCGGGCCTGCGAACCAGACAATCGCGGTTCGATTCCCAGTCAGGGCACATGCCTGGGTTGCAGGCCAGTTCCCTGCAGGCCAGTTCCTATCAGGGGACGCATGAAAGGCAACCAAACATTGATGTTTCTCTCGCTCTCTCCTTCTCTTCCCCTCTAAAGATAAATAAATAAAATTTTTAAAAAAAAGGGACAGACTCACAGAGGAGAGAGGGTCATCAGAGGGAGGGAAGGGGGAGGTGACTGGGAATGAGAAATGCAAACTTCCCGTTACGAATGCACACGTCACAGGGAACGTGGTCCCTGGGATGCTGACAACTGTGTGCGGCGCCCACTGGGCCCCCGACTCCCCGGGTGACGGCACTGTGAGGCCTATGAGTGTCGAACTGCCGTGTTGTCCATCCAACATCAGAGAATGTTGTACGTCAGCTTCGCTTTAACAAGAAGTAAAACCTAAGCAGGGCCCGCGTGTCTTCCCTCCGACCCCTCGTGCCTGAACCACGTGACAGGACCAGCCGCATCCAGGCCTTTAGCCCCCCCGGAAGAAACGCAGCCCCCACTTCAGGGACAAGCTGAGCCGGCTCGGTGAAAGCCACTCGGAGGCTGGTCCCTCTCGCACAGAGTGGAGTCACCGCCTCTACGCTCAGACAGTTTGGATTTAAAAATCAGACCCAATCTAGAAACCTGAAAGCGACAGCAAGCTTTTGTTACCGTCTGTGAAACCCCCTCCCTCTGCACCCCACGCCCTCGCTGGTGGCCCCCAGGGAGCCAGGGCACATGGACCTCACACGGGAGGGTCCTTCCACACCCCGTCTTTCTCCATGTCACGCTCCGTGTCTGTCCACAGCACGCTCACGTCCCCACGCCGGCCCAGGCCTGCGGGCCGCCTGCCCACGTCCCCTCCAGCTCCTGGTCCCTGTCCCTGAGCACGGCCCCTGCTTCCCTTCCATGGAACAGCTGCCACATTCCGGGTACAGACAGGGTCCCAGCAAAGCTTCGGAAATGTCACACAAGGCGCTCTTCTAGGGGAGTGACGCCCATTTCTGCGCGTGGTCATCGTCTTCACACATTTCATTAATGACAATTGTTCAGCCTTGGGCTCCCAATGGCCCCGTCCTAGGACACCAGCAATTACTGTGACACAGCATCACCGTGCACTTCTCTGGAGGGGCCCACAACGGGAAAATCCCAGTCCCCAAACCAGAACGCACGGGCGGCCGGAGGGCGGGCAGGAGAGGGCGGGACGGGAAAGAGGCTGCGAGAAGCCTGCGCTTCTCAAGGAGGCCGGATGAGCTGCCGGCGCCCAGAGCAATGAGAACGAATGACCCGCAATTCAAGACTCAGTATCGCAAAAAGCCATTCCTAATAAACAGACATCAGCACAACCCATTCATCTGAAGAAAATTATAAAACGATACTTAAAGGTGCCATCCCCTTCAAAGGCCTTAAGGCTGTTGGAAGTCAACAGTGACTGTCCCCGACTTCTGCTGTGGGATGACAGAGGCTCGCCCCGTCAGTGAGACACCGCTCCCCCCGTGCAGGATGCTGCGCTTTGTGTGCGTATACATCACCGTTCGGATAGCGCGGCCTGCCTCGGAAACAGCCACACGGCTTACCCGATCTTCCCAGTAACTGTGTGTTCTTCAAGCCCTCTGCCCCCAACTTTCAAAAAATATTTTATTCATTTCTTTTTAGAGACAGGGGAGGGAGGAGAGAAAGAGAGGGGAAGAAACATCAGTGTGTGGTTGCCTCTCATGCGCCCCCTACTGGGGACCTGGCCTGCAACCCAGGCATGGGCCCTGACTAGGAATCGAACCAGTGATCCTCTGGTCCGCAGGCTGGTGCTCAACCCACTGAGCCACATCAGCCAGGACTGCCCAGGCTCCCCTTCGACCTGCAGGCCACCCCCCACCGTAGACCCTGCACCCCCACAGAGTGAGGTCCGCGTATCCTCAGCTGGACTCTTGCTGAGACACAAGCTAGAGAGTCCAGTTTTCGGGGACCGGGCGCACCCTCGCTCACCATAGCCGACGGGCAGGGCGATCCTCCAGCTGCAGTCCAGGTTGTTGGGGTACGCGCCCGGGAAGCCGGGGCTCAGGATGACGCCGCCCATACTGCTCCGCGTCCCGCCGCACGTCGCTGTGAAAGGGAGACGGTTTTGATATAAACTCCGTCAGTACTATTATTTAAAAAAAAAATAGGCCTAGAGATCTTCAAGACCCAGTAGGCAAAATACCATCTCTGTGTGAATTTCGAGTCCTCAAATCCCCACCTCGAATTAATCTTAAGCAACCAGCGAAGACAACACAAGCCTCCCGTCTGTCTGATCTCTCATCGGGTCTTGTATTTACTGTGGGCCACCCGAGAGCTTCGGGGCGGAGAGCCTGTCTCTGTGCCCTGGGAAGACTTAGGGGCAAGCAGGTGTCGGGGAAGACGCTGCACCTTTGCTCTGTTCATATGCACGTCAGACACAAGGTAAAACCCACTGCAGTCGGCGGACAGAGGCCAACTGTTCAGGTAAACATTTGCTGGCATTGTACGAGTTCCAGCAAGGACATTATGCAAATGAGTGCCGCTCGTGTGTGGCTCTCAGGTCAAAGTTTAAGTGTTTCATCCCCCAATTCCGGTGAGTGTTCTCCATCTAAAACTAAACAAGAGTGAGGTTCTGCATAAGAAAAAGCAGGGAGCGAGGGGGTCGCCTGCCCCCTTCTCCCTCTAAATAGCCCGGGGACTCTGAATCTCCACACACAGAGCTCCACCTTCTCAGGGGGCGTGGCCACCTCGACATTTCCTCTCTGCCAAGAAATCACCTTCACACACACACATACACACACACAACATGCCGGCCACAGAGGACACTGCTCACTAGTGGACAGATATGACACTGTGACCACGAGCAGATGTGGGGTGTCCCTGGGCCAGGCTTTCCTGGGGGTGGACGTCTGGGTGGTGTCAGTGGTTTGGTCTAGTTTTACTTTCTTGTGTCCCACCCGAGGTGGCTCAGCCGTTCGTTAGTAGAACCTGAAGTCCCCCCACCCCAGCCCGGGAGGCTTCTGCGTGGGCCCCCCGGAGTTCTCAGGCCTGAGGCTGGAGGGACCGTGAGCAGTGACCATTATCACAATGCTCTGTGGTCATCAGTCCTGACTGGCCATTCGTGAATGAGAGTGACTGTGTGGGCCTACTGTGTGCCATGCTGTGGGGTGTGAGATCCCTGGGACTGCAGGGAGGGGAATGTCATGATGTGCAATGACATGGCATCGACACGGGAGAAAGCGCGACACACACACACACACACACACACACACACAGTGACGGGAGCCTCTTCTGAGCACCTGCCCCACCTGCGGGGGGACCCAGGATGGGCGAGGGTAAGAAGCGGGAGGCCCTGCCCTGGGAGGCAAAACCAGGCCTTGCTGGGGGGTGAGTGCGTGCCTGGGGGAGCAATACACATCTCAGAGCATCTTTCAAAGGTCGGCTCATCATTAGGGACCAGTCACCACTGTGGACCTTCCCTCTTGCTTGGAGGCCTCTGCAGGAGGCAGGGTGCTGCATGGGGTGGGGGCAGGGGGTCAGGCAGGGGGGGTCCTGGCGGGTGGGGCCCGTGGCAGATGCCACCGTGCACTGTGGGGGACAGGCTGGGGGGACAGGTGCACTCGCAGAAGCTGGGACACAGTTCTTTTGTCTCGAGGAGGAGCCCGTGGCGACGGAGATGGCACCAGCGCACAGCACGGTGACGGGGTGCGTCCCTACCGATGCACAGCGGGGTCGGGTAGTTCCAGCGCCGCACGGTCCCGGGCATGCAGGAGATGTGGGAGCGGCCCTGCGGAGAGAGGCCACGGACACTCACAGGTCGCGCCCACGGCTGCCTGTTCGTGGATTCCGGTGACGTCGCCCCCTTACGTCCCGTCTGCGCAGCCACCAGAACTCCCGCTTTGAGAGGAAATAACTAGGAGAATGAAACGCTCGACTTCGGAGGAGTCCGTTGCCATTCAGAAGCCGTTTCCATCCTGAGGTCAGGCGGCCCACCCCCACGACGAGCGTGACGCCTTTGATTCACAGACCGAGCGGCGGGGGGCCCAGTGAGCTGCGCAGGCGCAGGCCTGGGCCGCGCCCCGGCGAGACCTACCTGCAGCGTGTAGCCGGGCGCGCACTGGAAGGCCAGCACGTCGTTCACCAGGTACCGGTCGCCCATCTTGACGCCGTTGCTGGGCGGGGCTGGCTCCTGGCAGGCGGCCAGGCCCACGGCTGTGGGAGGCAGACACAGGGGGAAGTCAGGCCACAGGCCCCCCTTCCTGCCTCGGACTCATGGAGCGATTCTCTCTCTCTGTGGCTCTGCCCCGGCAGGAGGGCCGAGGCGCTAACTCTTTCCCGTGCGCCTGCCAAGAAAACTGGGTGACTTCATCACTTTTGAGCTAATTCTTAGATATTATTTTATTTCATCATAATGTCGATGTATTTTGTTTTGAAGATTGACTTATTAAATGAAACTTGTGACATGCACGTTTCATATAAAACAAATTCTAATGCCGACGCAACTTGAAGAGTCCTAACGACTTACTATCTTCCTCATTAGATGCAAAACCCCATGACAGTTCTTGTTTACTGCCGTTCAAACAGACCCAACCGTCTTTGTGAAAGGTGTTCAGTGTCTGGGAGGCCTGCTCTCTGGGGAAACCAACACGGGGACAAATGTTTCACATTTGCTCATTGAAAGACAACAGAAATGATTCTCATGAAGTCTCTTCTTCAGTAAACATCACCACTACGGACGGGCCCAAAAGATGTAATCGGGCAGTTTCCTAGAGGAAATGGCCTTTAGTTAAGGCACCGACAGTGTTTTAAATACATCACAGAACACTGGGATTCAGCCTAAAGTATCATAAAAATTATTTCCAAGTATCCAAAAACCCCAAAGTTACAGAGAAAATTGCTGACGGTTTCAAGACTGCAGACAGCAAGCACAGGGCGCCCCTGAGCTCGGCAGAGTGGACGCCAGACCACGCGTCTGCCCACCGGGCAGGCCGGGGGTGGGGCGGCGTCTGGGCTGCGGAGCCTGGACGGGCAGCCCTCAGAGGGACTGGCGCGCAGCCCGGGATGAACACACCGGGGCTCGTCACCGCGGAGAGGCCGCTCGCGCGCTGCAGATGCAGGAGGGTGCCGAGGGGGTCCAGGTGGTGACAGGGAAGGTGCCCGCAGGGCGCGCAGGTGCGTCCGCCCAGCGGAGGAGTCCCCACCCCCTCCCCCTCCAGCCCCTGGGAGCGCGCAGGCGTGGACGCACCCGACCCTCCGCCGAGCGCCTAGCGCAGCCTACGCAGGACACTGCCCCGGAGTCACACGTGCTCCAGCGTGAGCCCCACCTCTCGGCCTCACTTTGCTCTCAAACCCGAGAGACCAAATAAAGGGCAGGATGTGTCTTCACTCCCTAATGGTGGCAGTAACGGTCCACCAGGGCCACCTGTGTCGGAGGGTCTGCCCCAGGCCACTGGCTGCACTAACCGGTGTTTAATCCCAGGCTCTGCGGGGTCTGCGTGGTGTTAACTACGTTTTTCTAAGTGGAAGTGGATTTCTCCCTAAAAGGCCGCATGTTAATAAGCAGGACACGCCGTGTGCAGAGAGGGGCAATATTTCTTATTCCCAGCACGTTTGGGGCTTTTCAGAGCCCACAAAATCACTAAGTGTGAAAGAAGCAATCACCTAGGCTCCTCCCGTGTTTCGTTGGAATGTGTCTGATTTGTCCATCTTCCTAACCTTGGAGTCCAGATCGCAGCGATATTTAAACTTCACGTTTTTGTCCGATCAGGTATCGGCAAGATCAGCTTCCGTCATCACTTTTTATTTCAATTTGACCCTGAAGAAAGCACCATTTCTAACTGCGAGCTGCAGCAGTGAAAAGCTGGTTTATGTCGATAAGGCAGCGTCACCTGGGGACACTTCACTGCTGTGACAGAGACCAGACAGCAGTGCAGACCCCAAAACCCACAAAGGGGACACGAAAGGTGTTTTGAAATGAAAAGAACCCTAGCAAGTAATTCAAAATTAGATTTAGTTACTGAGTCTCCCTTGCTTTACAAGTAATGGGCGTTTACTTACTTACTCTATTTGTTTATTATGCGTTAATTTAACTGCATTTATTGTGCACTGATTTATTTTTATTTTCTTCTTCCTTGAAATGTAAACGTAAATCCAGTTCAGCTGTGAAAACATAACCTGCATTTACAGCTGTACTTGCAGGATTATCATAGAATTTCTGAATAAATAGAAAACCTACAAAAGCTACTTTAATCGGCACGGGACGGGGCAAGTCACGGGCAGCGGTTGTTTGTGGGCTTTGACATTTGAAGTGCAGACGGAATCACCTTTCGTCCCAGCCTCGTCCACGGTCCCTGTGTGCTCAGCCTAAGTTGGGAGCTGAGGGCACTAAGGTGTGTGCTTGGCGTTTGTAGCCACAGCTCCTAGTAATGCCATTTGAACGAGCACAAGGCAACAGGCATTCACATCCAGAAATTCACTAGCAGAGAAGAGAAGGGGCTACATGAGGCCTGCGGAGATCTGTGAGTGACAGAGCCATCCTGGGCCCAGGCCCACGTGTTTTCCAAACATCGAATTTGTCCCCTAAAGGGGCTGGGTCCCCCGACAGCACTGAGAATGACCCAGCGGCAGCGGGAGTGGCTCTACGTCACGAGTGGGGTGTCACCTTCCGGTCTGGAAACCACGCCCCAGGCACAGGGGACAGATGTGGACACAGCGCAGGCTGGGCCCCGAGAAGCTCTTGCCTGTGCTTTAAAGGGAGTGGGGGGTCCTTTTAGAGAGAGATCCACCATGAGTTACAGCCTAAAACACAAAAACAAGACGGGGAGGGTGGCGAGGTCGCAAGGAAAGGCCGTGCAAAACCTTACATGTCAGAACTTAGAAGTCGGAACAACGAACAGTCTGCCTTCCGCAGACGGAGGCGGGGCTGCCGGGGAAGGGGTGTGGGGAAGAAGAAGGGGGAACTGCCTTTAATCACTCTTCTAACCAAAACGGGGACCAAATCCCTCTTCTAACCAAAACGGGAACCAAAGACGTGAGGAGAGCAGGTGGGGGAGAAGGTCGCCTTCCGTGTGAACCTGTGCGTGTCCGTCTCTGAAACACCAGAAAGAGGACAAACTTTCACAAACCCTCATTTGGGGCAGAGATTCAGAGGGACGGTGCTTCGGGTGAGTGGAACCGGTCACTAACGCCGTTAAACCCTGGGTGGCAGTCTCACGCCAGTGACAGACGGAACTGGGAAACCCGTCACGTAAGAGGTGTTTAATTCGGCACAAAAGCAGACACGAGGAAAGATGCACGCAAATAAAACCGGTTCTGCAGACTTCCCAAAGCGAGGCTGTAAAACACCAGCACCTGATAGGAAGAGTCCACGTTCCTTCTCAGAAGTACGGGAACCTGGGAGATCAAACTGTCGCAGCATAAGCTCGTGCGTCACAGTTACAGAAAGGGCGCCCGGTCCCCTCAGCACGGACCGCTGACGTCCCCATCCTCCAGGGCGAGGGAGCGAAGGCTGTAAGGACATGCTGCTTTATTTTTTTTAAAGATTTTATTTATTTATTTATTTCTAGAGAGGAAGGGAAGGAGAGAAACATCAATGTATGGTTGCCTCTCGTGAGTCCCCTCGTGGGAACTGGCCTGCAACCCAGGCATGTGCCCTGACTGGGAATCGAACCGCGATCGTGTGGTTTGCAGGCCCACACTCAGTCCACTGAGCTACAGCAGCCAGGGCAGGACATGCTCCTTTAAGAGGCTGTTCACGAACCACCGGACATGCATCGCCGGGCACCCTGATTCGACCAGAGGAGAGTTGTGCTTCTGGGAGGGTCAGACCTCCTGCTGGAAAGGAACCACGCAGCCGAGAAAAGCGTGAACCCTGGCATCTGTACCCCCTTAGCTGCAGATGTAGGTTCCGGTCACTTCGAATGGAAAAACTGGGGCCTTTAGAAATGTGCCGACTTGTAAAGCTGCGGCCACGGTCAGGAAGGAGCAGCAGTTTTTGTCTCCGTGCCTGTAGCCCGTGGAAGCAAAGGCTGAGAAACTCGCCTCGTTGGGCCTTTGTAGCCATTAGTCTAACTCTGTTCAGCACAACTCAGAGAATGGTTTGCAGAAATTGTGAAAATGAAAATGATTTCAAAACAAAATAAACATGCAATTTTTGTCAGATGCTTTGAGCAGGAAAAACAAGACCTTCGTAGATGCAGCTGAAACAACTTCAAGCCTCTTCTCTCAGTCTGGCGTGGGTCCCACTCTGACCGGGACAGTGTACGGCTCGGGCGGCAAACACGAGGCCCGAGGGCCGAACCCGGCCCGGCATCTGGTTTCATCCACCGGTGCCTGGTTTCTACCTGGCAGCAGCGCCCAGCTCTGGCTTAACCGTGGAGGAGCAGTTATGTGCATCCAGCCCTAACATGACATCCAGCCCTTTGACAGCCACCCCGAGGCTGATGTGGCCGTGGTGGAAATGAGGCTGACCCCCGTGGTGTGTGGTTTTCAGACTTCACAACTCAAAGGCGAATCCTCCGAAGGGGGACAGTTCCAGACAATGATGAAGAAAAGGACCAGAGATGGAGAAAAGCAGAGCCCAAGGAGACGTGACCGGGTGGATTGTGGGGCGGGGCCACGGACTTGGGGACAGGCACGTGGACGAACATTCAGTGAATGGCCGGTCCTCCCGTGCGCTGTAGGACACACGGGCTACTCCTAGTTTTGAAAAGTGTGTTGCACACACTGCTTCTTGTCATCCATTACACAGTAACTACTCCTTTGCACAAATCTCTCTCTTTGCACGCCTACAGGTCTGATACCACCGATGACAGAAGTCCTGCTGATATTCTTTCTCCGTAAACCCGGGACTCAGAAACCGCACGACAGGGCGGATGATGAGTTGGGAACCAGGTGGACAGAGAGGTCACAGGTCCACTTGGGAGACGCCACGGGAGGCTGCCAGCCCAGGAAGTAGGGGCCGCATGTCGCAGTTGCAGAGACGCAGACACGCCTGTCACCCGTACCCTCAGACCCTTACACGACAACGTTCGACGGGTCTGCGTGTCCCCACGAGAGCAAAGGGCATCCACAGAGAAAACTCCGCTCGTTTATGGAGCAGTTTTCTAAGGAAAAAGCGACTGGCGTTTGGTGCACAGGAGAGTGAGAATCTGTGTTCAGCAGGCCCCGCCCACACGGTCAGGTCAAGTTTGCATTCCTCCGCCACCGCTCAC